CATAGTTCTCTTTTTTTGTTGTGTCCTTGTCTGGTTTTGGGATAAATGTATTACTGGCTTCATAGAATTGTTTTGGCAGTGTTCCTTCCATTTCTATTTCATGGAAAAGATTTAGGAGTGTTATTAGTTCTTCATTAAAGGTCTGGTAGAATTCAGCAGTGAATTTGTTAGATCCTGGACTTTCTTTTGTTGGAAGACTATTGTTGCTTCAATTTCATTGTTTATTATAGAGCTATTTAAGTTATTTATGTCCTCTTGGTTCAATTTTGGTTGGTCATATGTGTCTAGAAATTTATCTATTTCTTCTACAGTTTTTAACTTATTTGAATATAGGTTTTTAAAAGTAGCATCTAACGATTCCCTGGATCTTCTTGGTGTTTGTTCTGATCTCCTCTTTTTAATTTCTAATTTTATTAATTTGGGTCTTTCCCCTCCTCATTTTAGTCAGATTTGCTATGGGTTTATCTTTGTTTCATTGATTTTTTTTTTGGTGGTACTGGGGTTTGAACTCAGTGCTTCACTCTTGCTAGGCAGGCACTCTTACCAGTACTATATATATATATAGTTGATTTTTTGGCCCTAATTTTTATTATTTCTCTGTTTCTGCTAGTTTTGAGTTTAGTTCTTGTTTTTCAGGAGTTTGAGATACAGCATTAGGCTGTTTGAGATCTTACTGTGTTTTTTAATATATGCATTCAAGGCTATAAATTTTCCTCTTAGCACATGCCTTTGCTGTGCCCATAGGTTGTGCTTTAATTTTCATTAAATTTCAGGAACTTTTTGACTTCTACCCTTATTTGTTTGATGACCCACTGATCATGGAGCAGTGTGTTGTTCAGTCTCCAGGTGTTTTGAATCTTTCTGCTGTTTCTTTTGTTGAGTTCAAGTTTTATTCCACTGTGGTCAGACAGTATGCAGGGGGTTATTTCAATTTTCTTTATTTGTTAAGACTTGCTTTGTGATCTAAAATAACATCTATTTTGATGCAAGTTCATGGGCATGTATTTTGTGCTATTGCAGGATGGAATACTCTGTAGACATCTGTCAGGTCCATTTGATCCTTGGTGTCATTCTAGAGTTTCTTTGTTGATTTTTTTTTTTTTTTGCCAGATGACCTATCTATTGGTGATAGAGGAGTATTGAAGTCTCCCACTATCACTGTGTTGAGGGGGTCTAACTGTGTTTTTAAGTCCAGTAGTGTATGTTTAATGAAGTTGGGCACATATAAGTTAGCAATTGTTATTTCCTCTGGATGTATTGATCCTTTTAGTAGCATGAGGTAATCTTCTTTGTCTCTTCTAATTTAGGTTTAAAGTTTATTTTATCTGATATAGGAATAATTACTCCTACCTGTTTTTGGAGGCCATGAGCTTGGTTAATCTTTTTCCACCCTTTCACCCTAAGTCAGTTTGTCTTCTTGTAAATAAAAAATTGTCAGGTCTTCCTTTTTAATCCAGTTTGCTAATCAATGTCTTTTGATAGGGGAGTTGAGACCACTAACATTCAGTGTTAATATTGAGAGGTATGTGATCATTCCTGTCATTTAGTTCTTTTTGTTATGTAAGGTTTTGTGTGTGTGCAATTAATTCTATGCTACCCTCTAACTGCTTATCTGCTCTTCTCTTGAGATTTAGTAATTCCCATCCTTTCATGGATACTTACTTTCATCTTGTATGTATAGGATTCCTTTGAGTATCTTCTGGAGTGTTGGTTTAGGGCCATGTATTGTTTTAGTTTCTGTTACTCATGGAAGGTTTTATTTGTCCTTCAATTTTGAATGATTTGAAGCTCTTTAAGTAGTAGGCACATTCCATCTTTTCCAGTCAGAAGATTTCCTCTGTAGCTTCTCTCCAAACTTCCCAAATAACTGACTGTAAATATCACTGACACATCCACAATCTGGGCTTCTCATCCCTCTTCTCTGTGAGTTCTTGTGTTTCTCATAACTTTCCAACTGTCTTCCTCCTGTTTTCTTCCCTCATCTCAGCCCATCCTGCTCTCAAGTATACTCAAGAGAAAGATAAGCCATATAAAAAATAGCTATGCAAAGAAACAATACATCTGGGATTTTTAAAATGTCAACTTCATAGCTTGTTTCTTGTGTGGACCAAAGGTATTTATTTTCTGTTGAGCATTCCCCTGCCCAGACAGAAAACAAATACCTTCTCCAGTTAGAGGAAAGGAGTTTCCTGGCTCAGAGCTGAACTAGAGGAGAAACAGCATCTCTCTCATCCCTGCAAATCCACAGAAGTTTTCTCTGCCTACAGAGGGTCATTACTGGACAACCAGGATGACTTCTAAACTTATCAGCTGCCTTCCTAAAGAACTTTTTATTTTGGTGGGTTTGAATTCAGGACCTCAGGCTTGCAAAGCAGGAGCTCTACTACTTAAGCCACACCTCTAGTCCATTTTGCTCTGGTTATTTTTGGAAATCGTGATCTCAAAAAATGTTTGCCTAGGCTAGTCTTGAACCATGATCCTTCCAACATCAGCCTCCCAAATAGCTAAGATTGTAAGTATGAGCCACCAACACCTGGCTTGGCTAGTCTTGAACCATGATCCTTCCAACATCAGCCTCCCAAATAGCTAAGATTGTAAGTATGAGCCACCAACACCTGGCTTTCCTTCATGAATCTTAATGGTTTTCTGCTATTCTCAGAAAATGACAAACTTCTCACAGACCTGCCTTGGGTGGTCCCTCCTGCCTCACTGACCACATCTCCTAGACATGGACATACTCAGAACCACACTGTTCTTTCAGCATCTCAAAATGCTACATCCTCTTCCTCTTTGGGTTTAGAAAGCTCATCTTGGGCTGGGGATGTAGCTTAGCCCTAGTGTGTGCAAGGCCCTGGGTTCAATCCCAGGCAGGGGTGGATGGGATGGGACACTCATCTTGTCCTAGCCTTTTGCATGTTTGGCTCCTTTTCTTTCTTCAGACCCGAGTACATGATGTTACTTTTCAGAGAAGCCAGCGTATCACCCATGCAGTTTTGTTTTCTTTGCAGCACTTACCATTGGAGATATTACTTAATTTTGCAGTCTATCTCTGGCCTGAAAGTAAGCTCTGTGATAGCAGGGGGAATGGCTGTCTTGCTCACTGGCCTGGCAGTGCCTGACATGAACATAGAGCACAGGTTCCACCTACATAAAGTCAGCAACCTCAGACAGAAAATATTCAGAAAAAAATTTCACCTGTACTGATGGAACATACAGACCTTTCTATCTTGTCAATTGCATGTGGTGAGTTAGAGATGACTTAAAGTGCTGCATAAGGAGACAGTGCACAGACTACATGCAAATACTGCCCCATCTTATGTAAGGGGCTTTGGGCATGTGCAGATTCCAGCATATGTGAGGGACCCTGGCACCAATCCCCTATACTCATACTGAGGGACAAATATATTATGGGCTCACTTACTTGGGCCAGGACCCAAGGTCACTTACTTGGGCCAAGACCTCACCCCCAGGACCTCATCTTAGTAATAAATTGCCATTCTTCCACTCATACTCATCACATTAGCAAGTCCTTTGGGATCTTCTTCAAATTAGATCCAAATTTTCCACTTCCCATGATTCTTGTAAAAGTTATGCCTGACCTCCCTACTCTTCCACATCCAAACTCATTGGGAAAGAATTCTATGGTTTTAAGGCCCCACCTGGCACCCTTAACCTCCTGCATTCTTAGTTTCTTTCACTTATTTAGCACATGGGCCTCCTGATCAGCATTTGCTTGTGTGGTCGTAATGGTCTGGTTTCTCTGCTTCTGCTCTGAAGCTGCCCAACCAATGCACAATTGGCAGCCAGAGTTATCTTTTAAAATTTAAGACACAGCCCATCATTTCTTCTCCAACAAACTCCATTTTTTCTTAGAATGCAACCCAACAAGACCTAGTTCCCCTAGGACCTCATCCAGCAACCTGGCTCCCTATAGGTGAGAGCTTCCTGATGGGCCTCAGGGCTTCTGCACTGGTTTCCTATTTCTTGGATATGAGAAGGGCATGCTTTCTCTCTTCTCTACAGCCTTGGTTGGCTAAGAGTACTCCCTGGTTCCTCTGTATCTTTCCACAGTGCCTTATTTTCCTTCACAGCTAAGTCTCATTGCCAGACAGTGTGGTGGATATTTGCTTGTGTGCTTTCTATCTTCCCCTACAGAATGTGACCCTCAGGAAAGCTTTTCTTTCTTTCTTTTTGGTGAGACTAGGGTTTGATTGAACTCAGGGCTTTGCACTTGCAAAGCATGGGCTCTAGTGAGCCACACCTCCAGTCCATTTTTGCTCTAGTTATTTTCGAGATGGGGGTCTCATGAAGCCCAGGCTACCTGAAACCTTGATCTTCCTGATCTTAGCCTCCCCAGTAGTTAGGATTACAGGCTTGAGTCACCAGCCCAACTTTGCTTTTTTGAGATAGAGTCTTGATACGTAACCCAGGCTGGCATAGAACTAGTGGACTTCCTATCTCTGAGTTCTGGGGCTTCAGGTGTACACCACCACACCCAGCCTTTTTTCCCTTATTTTTTTGGTGGAAGTGGTGTTTAAACTCAGGGCTTCGCATGCAAAGCAGGAGCTCGACCCACTTTTCCCCTTGAGGTAGGGCATCTCAAACTATTTGACTGGGCTGGCCGCAATCCTCTGGATCTCAGTTTCCCAACTAGTTAAGATTGAACCACCGGCTCAAGCTTTCCTGAACCCCAGAGCTCCAGCACCCTGCCCGCCTCAGCCTCTGGCCAGCTGGGAGCAAAGGAGAAGCGTCCCCTCCTGTTAGGGGCCACACTCTAACCCCAGGGTTTAACGCACAACTCAGGCGCCTGCGAAGAGCGGGTGCCCAACTCCTGGCAAGCCTCCCACGCTCTGCGCTGCCCCCGCGGGGCGGGTCCTCGGGCGGCGTCTGCGCAGGCGCAGGCGCGCGGGGCATCACGGGAACGCGTGCGCTCAGGGCCGCACTACAACTCCCATGGGGCAGCGGGGCCTCCCGCGGGCCGACGCGGTACTCAGGAGAAGAAAGATGGCGGACGTAACCGTGGGAAAGGACAAGTGCGGGGAGCAGCGGCTCGTTTCGCTGCCCCTGTCCCGCATCCGAGTCATCATGAAGAGCTCCCCTGAAGTGTCCAGCATCAACCAGGAAGCACTGGTGCTCACGGCCAAGGCCACGGTGAGGCGGCCTGCGCTCCGGGCAGGAGCGGAGTGAGGGGCGGGCGCAGGCGCCCTTAACGACTCCACCGGGCTCCATGGCACTGCCCTTCCCTTCGGCCAGCACTCCACTAGCTGCCCTGCCGGGGTCCGGCGCCCCAACACTCCCGCCGTCCCTCGCGCGCGCTTCACCCCGCCCACCCACGCCGTTCCCGCAGTCCTTTGCGCGCCTGTAGCTCCGCCTACCCGTTCCGCTCCCGCGGTGCCCCGCCCGCGGTGCTAGCGCAAATTGGCATTAGCGGTTTAGGGGACACCCAAGTCCCCACTGCAGCCTGGAGGGGAGGGTGGCGGGTGCTGCTCCCGGTGCGACTCCGGCTCGGGGCGTTGCCCTCCAGACCTTGCCCCACATCTCTGCAGGACAGCCCTGGTCAGGGTCCTGAGTAGGTCGTTCTGCCTTCTTTTTCTCTTTTTTTTTTTGGGGGGGTGACAGTGGGCTAGGCAGGCGCTCTACCCCTTGAGCCACTCCACCAGCCCTTTTTTGTGATGGGTTTTTTCCGAGCTAGAATCTCGTGAACAGTTTGCCTGGGCTGGCTTCGAACTGTGATCCTCCTGATGTCTGCCTCTTGAGTAGTAGGATTACAGGCGTGAGCCACTGGTGAGCGGCTTGTTCTGCTTTTTAAGATGTGGTCTTCATAGATGACAGGAGTCTTCCTTTCTGGAGACCGGGCCATGTAACTTTGTTGATTCTGTTTTGTAGCCCTTATAGTGTCCAGACAATGTGTTGGACTAGAGCTGTGCTTAAGTGGACCGGGGTCCTTGCGGGGTTGGGTTCTAGACCCCCTCAGTGTCCAGGCCTCCCCCTTGCTGTAAACCGCAGAGGCGCCTGTGGTTGTTCAGGTGTGGACCTGGGACGTTTTCTGAACAATTTTATCTGTAGCATTACAGAAGTAGGAGCTACAGGCCCTTCCCGCCCTCCCATCCCAGCTGCTGGACGAACGTCGAGTCTGGTGGTTTAGTCGGTTTGGACAGTCTGAGGGTTGCAGAAACGGGATGTCTGTCAGTTTTCAGTTTCAGGTTGTTTCTTCCATGGTAATTGTAGGTGAACCACCTTCAAACAAGGGATTCAAATAGAGGTTAAAGATGTGCTCCTCAAACAGATTTTTTTTTTTTTTAAGTGCAGAAGATCTAATCCAGGGCTTCACATGTGCTAAGGAATGCTGTACCAGAGCCACGTCTCCAGTCCCAAAGTGGAATTTTGAGCCATGCCCCCAGCCCTTTTTTGTCAAGGGAGCGGGGATTGTTTTTTTGAGACAGGATCTTCCTTTGTAGCCCAGGCTGGCCTAGAACTTGCTGTCCTGCTTCAGCCTCCCAATGCTGGAGTTACAGACATGCCCAACCATACATGCTCAGACAGGGTTTTTGAATAGTCTGTTGCTGCTGGGTTTGGGTTTTTGGTGTTATTGGGGTTTGAATGCAAGGCACTCTACTGCTTGAGCTCCACCTCCAACCTGGTCTTTTGATTCTTTTTAAAGTTAAAGACTGGTCATTAAACATTTATACATTTCTGATTCATTGTTTTTAATCACTTGTACTGTTAGGTTGCACACCTAAACTAGAGCCTAGAAAATGCCTGCCTCCTCTCCAGCTTTGACACAGCAGCACTTTCCTTCTGACTTTGGGTGTTTCTCTTTTCTACTGTAACGTAATTTCCTGTCATTTAATTTGAGGAACCAAGATAACCCAAAGTCTTAATACAAATTTAAATTTAATGTAAATGTTTTACATTTAATGTAATTTTAAAAGTTAAGCCTATAAGCATACCTTCTGTTTGACTTTCATTTTATTTTAGGAGCTCTTTGTTCAGTGTCTAGCCACGCATTCCTACAGACACGGCACTGGGAAAGAAAAGAAAGCACTGACGTACAGTGATTTGGCGAATGCTGCAGAGGAGTCAGAAACTTTCCAGTTTCTTGCAGGTACATAATCTTAAATGTTCTGGTTTTAAAAGTGCCTTTTAAACCAGCTTTTTTCTTTTTTTGTCCCTTCCTGTTCTGGTTTCACTGAATTAGCTGCTTTGCTGCCTTCTTCAGGTGCCACAGTTTCCATGACCTGGCCCAGGGAGGTATTTCTAGTCTGTTACGTGGTTCACCTAGAACAGAAACCAAGTCAACAACATGAACGAGATGTTTGGTTGGCTGATCAGACACCCCCCCCCACAGAAGGGAAACTCAGAGCAGTCTATTTGCCCCCTCCCCCCTCAAAAAATCAGAAACTTAAGACTGTGCTGCTGTGGATCAGGGTCACCAGGAGAAAGCCTAAGTCTACCCTGGGGCTTACACCCAGCCACCTCAGGTAGGTTGAGCAAGTTACGGTGCCTAGACGCACCTGCAGGCAGTGGGAGGGGAACAGTGCCAGTTCCGTGATGGTTCACCCGAAGTGTGGCAGGGATTCCATCTTGTTTTGGAACCTTTTCTAGAGGTCATTTTGAAATTTGTACTGCTGTATTCCAGTAAGTAATTGCTGACATACGTGTTATGTTTTTAAGATATACTGCCAAAGAAGATTCTGGCTAGTAAGTACATGAAAATGCTGAAAGAGAAGAGGGAAGAGGAGGACGAGAACGACGATGAGGAGAGTGGCAATGACGAAGCCGAGGCCTAAACCCAGAGAAGGGCTTTAAATGTCGGTGGTGAGGACACTCCTGGAGGAGCAGTGGCTCTGAAGTGTGGACACTGCTATGCAGCTCTAGTCTCTGGCTTTCTGAGACTTCCAGCAACAGTCGTACTGTTTCTTCGCCCAGGCGGCATATCCTGCACTGACACTATAGAGACAGAGGGGATGCGTGGCTCACCTGCAGCCTGAGGTCTTCAGGAAGCAGCAGATGGCTGGCTGCAGCTCACCGGAGCTTCCCTTTTAACGTGCAGATAGTGTCCTGGTGTCACTATGCATGTTTGTATGTATATTCTGAAGGTTCTTGTAAACAACGAGATTGTTTTAGCTAAATATGTAGGTTATAGCTATATAAATCTTTGAATTTTTTGTATTTTGAAAAATCTGACTATTCAAATTTTTTTATTATAAAGAAATACCTTTTTCCTTTTCTATTAAAGGTCTGCACATATTTTTATAGTAAAACGCCTATCAAAGCACATTTATGGCCTTCTGTTCTTACTTTCTACTTGAGAATTTTGTGAAATTTAGAAGTGAGCATTTCTGGCTGGGGATGTAGCTCTCAATGGTAGAGTGTGTGCTTAGCATGCGGGAGGTCCTGGGATCCATCCCTAGCTCCAAATAACTGCAAAACCCATTTTTATTCCCAGAGGAAAATATCAAAAGTCAAGTTATCAAGTGAAACACAAGAAGGAATATTACCTCTGCATAAGGAAGGATGGTATTCTTTAAAAACATTGTATATTGAAGATAGTCTCATGTTTCTGTTCTTTAAACTGAGTGTTTTTACTGTCTGCAGGAGAAAAACCATTAAACCTTGTTTTTCACATAGGGTGGATGTTTGACTCCTGTCTTTTCAGTATTTTTAAAAAAAGGAAAAAAGTCGGGGGGGGGGGCCTGGGGACGCAGCTCAGTGGTAGAGAGCTTGCCTAGCATGCACAAAGCCCTGAGTTGGATCCCCAGTACCACAGGAGGGATGGGAAGTAGCCATCCTTTTTGGTATCAAGTCTGTGGAATTTGACAAATGGGATTTGTGTTTTGAGACCAGGGTCTTGCTATGTTGCATATGCCAGCCTTGAAATTCTACTGCCTAGGCCTCCCAGCTACCAGGGATTGTCTGGGCACACCACTGTGCTGGCTGTAAGTGCAGTTTTGTAACCAGTCAACATACAAGGACGGTTTCAGCCCCCAAGTACTCTTGTGCCACCTGCAGCTAATCTCTTCCTTATCCCCTGGTAACCACTGACATTCTTCTGCCTTGCTTTTAAATAATTACTAAAAGATGATAAAGTATTCTAAAATCTACTTTTTGGTGTATAGTTACAAGTTTTGTCAAATGTAAATGTAGCCACAATTAAAATGACAATTCTACCACCCTCTGAAATTCACTCGGGGTCATCTCCATCCATTCCCACTTAATCTTGGCAGCCATCCAGTTCTCTATCCCAACAGCAGGAGGAAAGAGCAAACTCTGTGCAGGGCTAACTGCAACTGTGTTAACGTTTGTGAGCTCTATAGCCGCTGTTCCGCCATTGCAACAGCTACCAGTTATAGGTAGTAGGTCAAGGAATAAGCATGGCTGTGTTTGCATCATATTTGATCTCTGGACACGGAAATTTTATGTAATTTTCACGTGTCGTGAAATACTCTTAATGTTCTTGAACCATTTAAGAACGTAAATACCGCTGAGGATGTAGCCGACTGGTAGAGCATCAAGGCTTTGATTTCCAGCGCTGCAAACGCTGCCTATCTGTCCAGAGGCAGAAGTCCCCGTAGCAGGAGTCTGGCAGTTCTAGTTAGCACAACGTGCTTGGTGTTCATCGTGTGGCTGTGGGTGACAGATGCACAGCTCCTTTCATTTCCGAGTAGGAGTGCATTGTATGGATGTACCGGGAGCATAGAGAGGGCCTCAGGAGTGTTTCCCACTTTGAAGCTGACAAAGCAGCCCTCTGTACGCTCGCGTACGAGCTTTGTGTGCTCGTAGAACTTTACGCCACCTAAGCAGACTGTGAGAGGAAGCGGACTTCATAAGAAACTGCCAACTGCCTTCGAAAGTGGCTGACAGCTCACAATTCCCACAGGCAGTGACTGAGTTGCTTTGCTCTGCATCTCATGCAGAACCTGGTGTCACTTTTTGTTGCATTTTGAACTTTATATATCCCAGGTTTTTTCTTTTTTTTTTTGCAGTACTGGGGTTTGAACTCAGGGCCTACACCTTGAGCTACTCCACTAGCCACCACCCCTCCCCCCCCCCACACCTTTTTTGTGTGTGTGTGTTTTCAAAGATAGGGTCTTATGAACTATTTTGCCTGGTCTGGTTTCAAACCACAATCCTGATCTCTGCTTCCTGAGTCGCTAGGATTACAGGCATGAGTCACTGGCACCTGGCTATCCCATGCACTTTGACAGATGATTTGAAGCATTTCCTCCCAGCCATGGCTTGTCTTGGGCTTTTAACTGCATGATTTGGAGAGGAGCTCTTACTTTTGAGAAGTCCAGTGTACTGTTTCCATCAGGTCTTTAAAGATCAGACCATGTTGTGCCTTAAAAACTCCTTGCTAGGCCCAGTCACAAAAACCTTCTCTTTCATCAGTCTTTCAGTGTTTTCATTGAATCCTCACAATAGTCTACAAAGTAAATGACCACATTGTTCAAAGAAGGAAACAGCCAGGTGTCGGTGGCTCATGCCTGTAATATTAGCTACTCAGGAGGATTGTGGTTCAAAGTCATCCTGGGCAAATAGTTTGTGAGACCCTATCTCTTGCCTGCCTAGCAAGTGTGAGGCCCAGAACCACCAAAAAAAAAAAAATGGAAGGTCTCCATGCAGGGGGGTAAATTCTTGCTCAGCACTGAGGCCCTTGATGCTGACGTCACCCTGTATTCCAGGCTTTCCTGCATCAACCTTCATTTCCTGCTGATGGGGACTTTTATCCTACACGGGAGCACGGGCAGTCATAATCCCTCCCGCCCCCAAGGTCAAGGAGCTGTTCTCAGGAATCCTTCTCATCAACGCTGTTGTTACATTTCCTTCTCTGCAACCAGTCACGCCTGCCTGCTTCTGACCGTTCAATAAACGACAGCGACTAACATAGCAAGGTCAGGCACAGTAAGAATGTTCTTGCGATCTCTTACCAGCTCCTGAATAGTCCTCTTAATTTTGACTAGGACATCCCCGCCAGTGTGTACAAAGATGCTTGTGGTTTCGGATACCAAGAAGTAGTTCAGGGTTCTAGCTACAGTAAGAAATAACTACATCAGGGCAGATGGAGTGGCTCAAGTGGCAGAGAGGCTGCCTAGCAAGTGAAAGATCCTGAGTTCAACTCCCAGTAATGCCCCAAACAAAGGAAAACCACCAATCTTGATTGTGTTAAAGGAAAAAAAAAAAAAAAAAAAAAAAAAAAAGCCAGGTTCCGGTGGTTCATGCCTGTAATTCTAGCTACTTGGGAAGCTGAGATCAGGAGGATTATGGTTTGAGGCCAGCCCTGGCAAGTAGTTCATGAAACCCCATCTCCAAAATAACTAGAGCAAAATGGATTGGAGGGTGTGGCTCAAGCAGTAAAGCGCCTTCTTTGCAAAGGCAAAGCTCTGAGTTCAAACTCCAATCCCACCAAAGAAAGAAAGAAAGAAAAAAAAAAGGATTGGATCAGTAATAGACCAGAATGATATGAGTAATTACCTATTAACGTTGTGATTACAAATGACACACTGGGTCTGCTTTAGCAACCTCGGACATCCTGGGGGTTTTCTCAGCGGTTTTGGCTTCCTTAACCTGCCCCCTCCTTCCCTCTCCCGGCACCACCTGTGCTTTTCAGGATAGATAGCGGAAGTCAAAAACAGCCGATGCAGAGGCTGTCAGGATTTCCCAGCAGCACTGGTGTAAGCAAAGCTACGGATGAGGGCAGAGGGGCCAAGGCGCCAGCCAGGCCAAGAACTAGGACGTGGTCGGCTCGGTTCCCACTGGGCATGGAGCTCAGGACCTTGTTCCTGATGGGCGCAGGGACACCCATGTGCCACACTTGTTCTCACTCTTGTCCAGCTCATGCCTGTGGTTCTCACACCCAAGCCCATCCTTTGGGCCCCCCGCCCCAATGCCCTGCAGAGCAGGAATAAGTGGAGATCTCCAGAAGAGACAGCTGTAAATGAGGAATTTTTTATTTTATTTTTTGCTGACATACTATGAGGCAAAACAAAGTTGACACCATACAAAATAACTTTATAAAATATCATTCACATCGTATTTTATCAGATTTACAGCATTCTGTGCATGTTAGCGTTACGTAAGGAGGTGAAAAAACACTACGCCAAACTTTTAGTATTAGTTTATATACACACGGTAAGAAACAAAACAAGTAACTGTTAGGTTTTCCATGAATTTATTGCAAAAATAGTGCAAACTACTTAAATCTAGTAAGCTGTAAAAACAAACTCAAAGGACCCAGCTAAGCTTAAACACGACAATAGATGCTCGGGGTCTCAGCGGTTAGCTTTCTTCACCACTTGTCTCGTCCATGCAGCCCGCCCCCTCCCCTCGGGTCAGCTGGGTGAGCGCTGAGAGGGAGAGACACGTGAAGGCTGCCGCCTCTGAGGGCTGCAGCCTCGATGGCACTCACTCAACGGGAACTCATGAGGTCTGGCTTGTTTAAACGATGCCATGACTTTTAGCTTTGAGCTCAGAAGCAAGGTGCCCACCCTCTGGGTGACAGGGAGGAGGGATCGAGGGAGCAGCATGAACAAAAGGATTGGGGACGTCACTGTCTGCTGAGAACCAAGTACCCTTTCCCTCGGGTGTGCTTGCTAAAGTGTTCTAACGCAGGGCCACCTTGCAGCCAGATACTGCAGTAAGGTAAAGGAGAAAAGAAGAAAAAAAGGAAGGACACTAACTTGAAGTTTCCTTTCAACAGTCTGTTGGGGTCCAAAAAGCATAGATGTAAACAAAAGGACAAAAGCAAAACAAAATGCTACATGTAAAAGCTAAAGAAACAAAATGCAGCATACGCAGGTTCTTTTTCTTGAGGTACCTATAAATTTCATCGCCTGCCCCAAAGTGCTCTTGGTGGGTTAAATCTGTGTCCTGGCGAGTCAATCGTGGGGCACTTGTTATTCATTACTGAGAAAGTGCAACATCGCCGGTCTTTATATGCAGCATACTAAAGGATGATTTACTCTTTATAAAATATAGCTTAAGTTATCGACCTGATGGAAGTTAAAAAATTAAAAACATTTAACTAGAATCATCTCTCTTGTCTTTCTTTCTTTTTTTTTTTTTTTTTTTTTTTTTTTTGAGATCCTGCAGCAATAAGCCTCTCAAATCAACTTGCGAAGTTTTGCCACTAAGGAATGTTGGTTCTCTTGTAAAATCCAGAGAGTTCCTTAAAATAGTAAAACCATACGCTACAGGAAAGATCCCAAACTTTTATTTCTTATTGGTATAAAATCAAATTCTTAAGACTCCAAAATATTGTATTACCTCCAAACAATTGAGTTAAAAAAGATTGCCATAGTAGGAAAAGTCTAGAATTGTAAACTGCCAAATATAAAAGCACGGGAAGTCACCGATCTCCTGTCGTATGTCCTTACTGGTCGGAATGCCTTCTAGTGACCAGAACTGGGGGGCTGCTGCTGAGCACAGGCCTCCCACCAGCCACGAGCTCACCCGGCCCTCTGCCCACGGCCACGAGCACCTCCACCAGGCAGATCAGGAGAGATGGACTCGACAACAGTCCCTTTGCTGCTTATGAAACGAACGCTTATAAAATACGCCAGAAGAAGAGGGGCATGAATGGTTAAAAAAGCAATGAAAAAGTACTTGTCATTCTTTTTTTGTTTGTTTGTTTTTTGTTTAATTTGGCCGCCCCTTCTTTGGCACAGAAAATGAAGTGATAGCTATAAATACATGCATAGAAGAGCTTGAAATTTATATTTTAGGATGCTGAATTTGCTCTTGGACATAATTTTTTCCTTTCTACAAGAGGGTAGTTGGGATCCCAACATACTGTAGCAGTTGTCTGTGGAACCTATCAAGGCCATGGTCAACTGGACTCTTCGCCCCACCTGCAGTCATAGAAAAGGTGGATCCTATTCTGGTTTTGTTAATGCATCAGGGTTCAACATAAAAGGCACAAAATAAATAAAAATATTATTAAATAAACGGAAATTACGAGTTCAAGTTTCATGTGGAGTTATAGCTCACGGTTTGGTAACTTTCCAATTTAATTTGACAGACTTAGTAAATAGCACCCAACTGTTTAACTGAGGTAGATCCACATTGTAAAGAAAGCTGGGTCCCCTCCATTTTACCTCAAAATTGAAGATGCTTTTACAAAAACAAAAATCCATTTTAATCGTATGCAGAAGCATTGTCAGGTGGCACCACCTGAAGCAAGCTTAGAGCGTCATGAGAAAGTTTGTAAGTAGGACCGACACCCAAATCATATTCCCAGCAGCATAAACAAACCTCAGACCGGAGGAAAGAAACCAGACATTTACATGTGACCCTGAGAAAGTCTCAGGTCTTTTTGCCTGACTGCCACAGACATGCACAATGGTCCATTTTCACCAATCAAGGGCAACAGCCGAGCCAGACCAGAAGAGAGAGAGAGAGTGAGGGAGAGAGGTGGATCCCTGGAGACTTCCTTTCTAACTCCAGAGACTTGCTAGGTTATGCTATTAACATCTTGATCTGAACAGGTGGAACTCACCCTGCCTACTGTTTTTGCATACTCTGAAACTCACAAATTTAACATCTGATTAAGGCTTAATTGAAAGTGGAAGTACCACCTATTGTCATGCAAGCACTGGACCTCCTCAGGACACAAAGAATGGTATCAAACAAAGACAATGACATGAAGCCTCAGATGTGGATTTAGTGAATACTGTAATTTCATAATTATACAATCCATGTAGCAAATGAAAAACTGTATACACAGCCCGAGGCCAACGTATAGAAATAATAGTTTATACAGGAACGGTCAATTTACAAGACAGCACTCTGTGGTTTCTACACTGCAAACACAAGACGTCGCCACACTGATCCACTGTACAGGGACACCACGCAGAGCACCACCTGGAACGAGGTCCTGTCAGCTGCTTGACTTCTCAGAAAACAGTAAACTTTAAATGGCCAGAATACATTTTGATTCAAAATGTCTTCCGAAATATTTTAGAGTGGGGAAAATTAAGAAGGGGCAAGATCTCCTATGGGACTTTTGGATTCATTCATTTTTGGTTCTTTTTCAATTATTTCATAAAAATAAAAGTAAAAACTGACAGCACGAAGGGGTGACCCCTCAGTATGTATCAAGCAAGCAGTGTGAAGTGCTGAGGAGAGGAAGCAGACTTACATACACCTTCTCTGCCTAGATTTAATGAGTCATTAGTCACTTGTTGCATGGAATCTTAAAATTCTTTTTTTTAATAACTTTAAAAAAAAAACCCAACCTGTCTCTACAGTTATAAAATCTAAACTCATACTTTTAACAACTATATTAAAATTCACTATTAACTCAAGATTCAAATTTCAATTGAATGTTAAACTCTTTCCGTTAAGATTTCATCACAGGTGTCTATTTGGCTTTGAAGAGAAACCAAGATTGCTAATGACCCCTGAGGGAAAGGCCTTTTTTCTACATTCTAAAAAGTAATCCATTGGATTACCTCTCTGCTTAGAACCAACAACATTGTCCCTTGATAGGGCAGGGAAGGGTGGTTTCTAATTAAACCATCAGCCAAGAAACTGCTCGCTGCCTGGCCTGTAAAGATAGAAAAAAACTGTGTGTCAGTCCCGGCAAAGCTGGAGTCCAGTGTGCCTCCTCAAGTGACACCACACCTAGGCAAGCGGCTTCCCCAAATGTCACAAAACAGAACGACGATGAAAAACACTGCAAAATAAGGGTAGAACTGAACAGCCCCCTATGCCTGAGGACTCCAGACATTTTACAAGGACCGATTTGCATCCCTTTTTAATCACCCACTTCCATTTGCACAGATGTTCTTGCCAGTGCTAAGAGGGGGGCCCCAGCAATGATGGTTAGTCAATGCCCAGTAAACCAAAGCCTTGCACCTGGCTCCTCAAAGCCCAGCACAGGTGCAATACACATCAGGGTGCAGAGGCACCCAGGATGGGGCAGGTGAGGGTGGTCTCACAGCTGTAGCCTACTAGGCAGCGTCACAGTTTGTAGTTGGAATGGTGCAGAAGGAGCTTCCAAGGCAGGGGTCAGTGACTGATGTGTTGAACGAATGGGTCAGTCCCAACTTGATTCCAAAAGGACACTGAGGACCACACCGTAAAGGCACAGAGTCTGGAACTAACCCCCAAACACGCTCAGAGATGGCCCAAAGGACTGGGGCCACTTGCTTCTTGGAACGGAGGGTCTGCCCTGCCCCAACATGGAGACTGTTCCCAGGGTTCCAAGGAGCCTCAGTCCCTGTGCACACCTTGCTCTGCCAGCCTCGTGCCACTCACTGGTGGGTGTTAACCAATGCTGAGGACCTTAAAGACTGGAAAGAACTGAATGAGGAAGGTCTTGCCCTCCTGGGGACACTGGGGGGGCTAACATTTGGTATTTTAGCTTTAACTCTGAACGACCTAAATCCAAGGAGGCTTTAAGTATGAGATAATGCAGATTCCTTCCACCCCCAGAAAAGGGGCAGGTGATGAGGGGACTTGACCCCTCAGCTAGAGCTCCAAGGGTGATCAAAGACTTCATGTGTTCTCACTCCAGCCAGTAAGAGAAGTGTCAGGCCAAGCAACAGCAGTCTTCAGCACTCTCTCACGAAAACCTCCTCATCGGTATCAAGGGGGCGAGGCCACCTCCAGGATGGCATTGCCCAGGCTGATGGCTACTGGACAGATCTGAGGTCTCTGGCTCAGATCCCTGCACCATGCCTCTCAAATGCCCTGCACTGGGTTCTGGCTGAAAACCTGCAGCCGTCCCGAGAGGCCTCGCAGCCAGTGAAGCAGCAGGCCAGGGCCCTGTACACGTGTGCTTCTCAGGGGAGAAGAGTGAGCATGCTGGTAGAACTGAAAACACGCCAAGAAAGACCATGAAGGTCACTGAGCGCTCTCAGAATCAAAGTACACTATGTGGTACCAGAACCCAAACCAGTGTGAAAGGCAGTCCCTCCAGGGAGTGATGTACCAGAACCCTCGGGGCCAAGGTCAACGTCTGGTGAACAGAACCATCGTCACACACCCAGATGTCTACAGTCATGAAAATGCCTGGCCCTCAAGACTTCCAAAGTCAACTGCCGGAAGTGTCTTGGAGTGACTGCTGACCTTCCAAAGATTAGAGCACAAGGAACCTACAGAAAGAAGTGAGAGGCGGGGATGCCAATGGTCCTCAGTGCAGCGTTGGGGGCAGCAGGGGATGAGCAACACGTTTCTGACAACAAAGGGCCCTACACTGGAACAGAATGTTTTGCTTGACAACAGTTCATGTTCAAGAAGGGAGTGACAGTAACTCAAAGTTCCAAAGTCAAAGAGCAACAGTGCCTGCACTGCCTTCTGAGACTACAGGATGGCCTTGACGCACCACTTGCGCGGGAAGGTGGGTGTTAAAGCACCTTTGTGATTTTACAGAGTGTGCAAACATGGAGGAGAGAGCAGAGGGAGCCACCTCCAACCCATTCAGAAGGAAGCAGGAAACAAAGCGCCTTCCTCTGTTCAACAGCAAAGTGAGCGCAGGCAGGGCCAGGCTGCTGCCATGCTCATCCATGCTGCCTGCATACCACCAGCCGGCCTGGGGCTGCTCGGATCATACTGGTGCCTCAGAAAGCTAGAATCTCGTGGCTGGCAGTGCAGAGGTCCCTCGGATCACAGTATGGCACACAGTTTTCAAGCCAGAACTGAACAGAGAGATGGTCACAATTCAGTTTATTTAGGCAACACCTCAGCTATTTTCAGTGTGGATAGCTACACTTAAGAGCAAAACAAACCTATTGAGACTTCAGAGGTAGCTTTTATCTGCATTTAACTAAAAGGTATTTAGAACCACCTTCTGTAGTGATTTGGCTAAGCCAATACATTCACTTGAGACAATAAAATGGCGAACATATTCAAAGAAGCAAAGCGAGGGCACCGCGATGGCACAGACGATAGACACACACACACATATACACATACACGTGCACACACGCACACACACAGGCACACGCAGTCTAGGTTTTAAAAGCTTTCTGTCCTGACAGGGGTGGGGGTGGGGGTGGCAGCACGGACTTCCAATTCAGCAGAATCACAAGGTACGTGAGGCCACACAAGGCTTCGGGTCTCTCTGGCATCCATGGATGTGCCACAAATGACAGTGACCTCATGCTTTTTAATGGACCACTGGCCAAAGAGATGCCAGGTTGGCCCAAGCAGACACCTGCTATCCCAGCTGTCCAAGGCTGGATGGAACTAGAATGAAGTGCTTTGGGGAACCTGGCAATGCACAAGGAACTGAACAGACCACCACGCATCCCAAAGAGTTTTAGTTAGCTCTCTTCAATTTAAACCCTCTGATCCCACACAGGGAGAACTTCCTGTGTCAGGAAAACAAGACAATGAGGACAGCCTGTCCTTCACAGTGGTCAAGACACGAGGCTGAAGAACAAGATGGAGCTACATCTGCATGGCTTCGGCACAGAATACTGAAATGTGTGGCAGTGTTGCTGCCCGGAGGTGACATCCCCATGTTCCCCTCACTGCTACTACATCAATCTACTTACAATCAATCATTTCAGACACGTACAGCAGATGCAAAGTTGGACACAACAAAAAGACGTCATCAGAAGATCAGTGCAACTGTTTTGAGCTGAAAAATTTTCCTTACAGAAGAGCCAGCATGCGTGTATCAGGGACGCCCCGTGACAAGAAGTCACACATGCACTGTCAACAGTGGAACACGTCACAGCAGCGGGACTGCTGGCGCAGCAGCTGGAGAACGTACATACAGCATTTGCATTCTGCAGGTGAGGCGCGGGAACGCTAAGGGGTCTACTTCTACCTACATTCCTTTGCTCGTGAGAGATGAGTCAGAGGTCACAGCAAGGTTTCTTATGGCTTGTCTGGGCCACCGATTGTCCACTGTCTGGATTAGGTCACCTCTAAAGATCCTCCTAATGGAACTGCCTTAGGAGTAGGAAATGCCCATGGGAAATCCTTCCAGCCCGCCCATGGGTCAAGGTCGCTGAAGGACGACGTCCACTTCCTGAGGCTCCTGCAACCAGCGAGGCTATCACCACACCAGCTCCCAGGAGAAGCCGCCCCAGCCCCAAAGGCGTCCTGGAGACACTCCAGTGCTGGGACTGCAAGATGTGTGGCTGGTCTACCCTTAACGCATTGTATCAAATATAGAATTTGACTGAAAAAACTGCCTTGCAAAAATAAAATTTAAGTCACTCTGCAGATCAATGCAAAAGCACACTGCTGCATATATAAGAAACACAATTCATCCAGAAAAATTACATTTGTGGCTTTTAAAGATAAATCATCCAGCAAACGTGAAGGTAAACATTAGGTGATTTACAAAAGTCGGGAAACAATCTCTACCATACCCATCAGGTACCACATGCACTGGAATATCCACGCTAGCCAAATCGAACCAGAGAAGAAAGGAAGGTTAAAAAAAAAATAAATAGCAACATTTGCATTTAAAAACAATAAAATAATGTATGACAACAATCAAACTGCCCCCACCCTGCAGGACTGAAGTAAAACTGTCTTCGCAGCAAGCGCTCAGTATGGAGTAAACACTAGGAACAGCAGTATTCCAGTCAGCTGTAGACTGCACAGCACGGGGCTCTCTTCTGGGCCTTGCCTCTGGGGCAGGCCACATACAACCAAATCTGGAGAAGACAAAGCAGACCCTAAAGCAATATCAAAAGCGTGTGTGTAAAGACTCCCCAGAACAGGAAATCAAAGCCAACACCAATCAACCCCTTTCTAAAAATCCAAGTATGCTTGTCAGCTCTACAAAATTGATCTCAACAAGGAAAATCTGAGCCTGTGATACATGAGTAACAAGATGGAGTCTTTGCTAACATTACCAAGGGCTCTTCTACAGCTTAGGGTAACAGTGGTGAAGGAATGGGATGGGGGCTCACTCATGTTTCTAAAGAGAGAGTATTTTACAACCTATGAGCAAGAATACCAGTATGAGAATCTAGTTGGGAGGCCTCTTTTACTCTGTCTTTTTTGGACACACTGGGGTTTGAAGTCAGGGTCTCACACTTGCTAGGCAGGCGCTCTTACCACTTGAGCCACCCAACCAGCCCCAAGGGAGGCGTCTTTTAAAGAGGTAAAACAAATCCTAGTTTTTTTCCAATGAATCCAGATACCCACATCATAATTTTCACATTCAGTTTGCTTACAGCAAGGCACACCTTACTTAACAGTGGTGGGGACAAAGCCAGCCAGTGAGAGACCTAGGAGGAGGAAGGTGCCCCTCTGGGGGCAGCAGAGCTAGGTCTATGGTGCAGGAGGCAGAGGACAGCAAGTGCCACTTTTGGCTGCCACAGGTCAGGGCTTGGACTCAGGCCACTGCAGTCTGAGTCTTGCACTATCTCAAAATTCATGCTAATCAGGGGAGCCTGGTAGAAAATGGGGAAAACAATTATTTACCTGAGCAATTGAAACTACAGCCATTGAACTCTGCATCATCAGACGTGTACAAAGCTACGTGGCTAACTGAACAGGGGACATTTGGTCTGATTTTTTTAACAGTAATTAAAAAACAAAACAAGCAGAGGGCTATAAAAAGTACACTTCCCAATTGGCCCACTGAAAAAAAAACTCATCCTTCAAAATGATAAAAACAAAATGAAAAAACTAACCACAAAACTTAAAGGGTCTGATTTTCTGCCAGCCTGTACGCTTTCCTGGGCACTAGCTCGGATGCCATCTTACTGGTTTGTTGTGGAGTCCCTCCTGCTGACTCCCAAGCAGCCGTGCCCAGAGTCACAGAGCCTCCAGAGATGCAGAAGCAGCCCTGGTCTGAGAACATGACCCAGGAGGTTTGTCCAGGCCTGGGAACATGCACTTTAACAAGGCCAACCTCTCCTCCACCACTGAGCCCCTGCTGCAAGTGGGGCAGACACAACTTTGAGACACAGGGTTCCAAGTTAGGTTGGCTGAAACCAACCTAACTTCAGAGTCTGAACTTTTGCTAGTCAAAGATTGCCTCTTCAATTTGCCTGCCTGGTGAGTCCTCCTCAGTGTAATCATATCCTTCTGGCAAGTCTGAGAAAGTGCCACTTGCTGACGAGGTAATAGGCAGCTGCAGTGCTTCTTAGACTGGAGGCTTATCACTCAAGAACTTTTAAAAAAGACACAGCAAGAAGAGACTGATGTCATTAGTAACACATGCACGCGCGCGCGCACACACACACACACACACACACACACACAGAGAGACACACCCCTGACTTTAAGGACACACCTTCATAGGTCACTGCCACCTGTCTAGGTGCAGTGTCAGCACTGCCTGTGGGGCTCACCGCCACTCTCTACAGCTCTGATGCTGGTGAATGGCAGGGCAGAGGTGGTGCCTCCTCCAGCACAAGGCACCACCGATGAGACCCTCATGCCACGCAGTGCCAGGGAGGTAACTTCACACAGGGCTGGGGAGGGGACTTCAGCAGGGAGAGGGCAAACCTACAGAGCACAGAGCAGCATAGGGGAAGGCTTGTCTCCTTCCTTCAACTTCTATGTGGAACATGGATCTGATTCTTACTTGAATTGGGTACGAGGACAAAGAGCCCACACACAACACACGGCAAGGTCTGCTGCTCTCCTTTAAAACTGTCCATGGCGTCACTCTTAGTGCAATGGTTTCTAGACCTGTCAACCCATATCAGGCCCAAATGCAAATTCTGCCAGAGCAGTCTGTGCCCTCCACTGGTCTGACCTGGGGGACTCCCAGGGCAGGCTCAGGCTCCACCCCGATCCGTTTCAGTGCATAGATCCTATGAAAAGCCACGCGTGACAGAGTGCACTCTGATACATGAACTTGTTTCCCAGCAACGGAAGAATAAATGAACTCCATTTGTGCTTCTTCGGCTGAGCGACACAGGGATGAGGTGGTGGGAGGGTGGCAAGGGACTGGGGGCGCAGCGGCCCTCTGGGAGGCACAGGCGACACAGTCCATACTGGGAGCAGATTGCTGCCATTTGAAGTCAGTTGCATACTCCTGTTCTTAAGCACAAAGAGCCGCAAGCAGTGGCCCATCCCCAGGCTGCAAGCCACTCCTGGTATGCGAGACAGGTCACAACACAAGGAGAACAGCGTCATCTATCACATTAATACTGCAAACCAGATATATATATTTCTCTCTTACATTAATGACATAACAGTGAAAAAGGATTGTACTGTATTTACCACCACAGACCCGTATTCTTTAAAACTTTGGAAAATAAATGTCACAGTCCTCTAGGACAAATCTTATGATTAGACTGTCGGTATATTATCTTTTTTCTCTTTTTAAATAAACTTTTATTAAAATGGCACTTGTCTGCCAACCTCTCTGGACCTGTCACTGCTGTAAACACATGTGGCCCTCCTCTGTCACTCCTCCTTAGCTCGGGGCCACGAGGGCAGGTGCTGGCAGGGCGAGAGGCAACTGTGGACACCTCACACGGCTACCTGCCCTGGGGCCGCAGAGCTGTGCAGCCATGCCAGGAGCACAACGCACTGGAACTCAACTCTAGTGACACCACCAGAAGGCTCAAGGCTTTAAAACCCCCATCATATTTTGTGTTGCTTTCACTCTCAGAATGTTCACAGCTAGTTTGAGCCCATCAATTTCACAGAGAATCATGTGTTAAAAAACAAGTAAATTGAATGACCAAATAAATTAAAAATGTTTTAAAGCCCTGAGTTCATAGACTGGTTTTAGGAGATTTTTAGGAAACACGGGACTCTATTTTAATAAGCAGCTTATAGATTTTGGCAAACCATATTTCCTACGACAATGGGGTCTCATACAGGTCTGCAGTTCAAAATCCAAGTTTGAAATCCGGGACGGAAGGCATTCTGGAAATGGAGAATCCAATAAACCAATGGCGTCTCATGTTCAATGCTGCTGTCACTGAGGGCTGGGCATCTGTTGGTCTGAGTGTAGCTGGTCTCGTGTGAATCCAATTCGGTCCACAATCGCTGACACCACAACACGTCAAGCGAAGTACATGGTGCGCAGCGTGTCCTGGTGGACCTGGACCGCCTTGGCCAGCGCCTGGTGATCTCGCCCGTTGCTCTGCCCAGAGGTATGGCTTCCCTCAGCACTGCAGGGACATAGGAGGGGAGGGAGGGAGTGAGGACAATGCACCAAACATGTGGTGAGGGGAGCAGTGTGTCCATGGTTACACAGCTAACAGGGGGCCACCATTCAGTGACACCTGTGCCAGTCAACTCCAGTTGGTTCCCACTTTGGACAAGTAGCCGCCAAAGCCCCAACCAGAAACAAGTCCTCTGGTGACCTCTGGCCAGACATGATGACACTCACCTATCGTGCTCTTTATCCACCAGGTGGTACCTGGCCCGGAAGGCCACCAGGTGAGCATAGTACGCTGGTGCTGGGATGGACACGGAGCGCGTACACCTCACGTAGGTGTGACACAGCTGGTAGGTGAGGATCTGCAGCTCATCGGAGGAGAATCGATTGTCATCCCAAAGGACATGGTAGTGGGAGGGCCTGCTTGTCCCCTAGAAGCAGGTCAGAGGGTTGGTCACTCACCGTGAAACTGTCACAAACAGTAGTACTGTGAAAGAACATTCCATGCAAAAGGCATTTATGTTATGAAAAACACAGGCTGGGGAGTGGTGCAAGGGGTAGAGCGCCTGCCTGCCTAGCAAGTGTGAGTGAGGCCTTGAGTTCAAATCTCAGTATGCCAAAAAACCCCTAACAATAACAACATGCAACACAGCCATTTACTTGACCTTTTCTGTGTGTGCAGTGGGTTTTAAACTCAGGGCCTTGTGCTCAAGCCTCTATCACTTGAGCCATGCCCCGGCCCTTCTGCCTTAAATCATTTTTCAAACGGGATCTCGTGCTTTTTGCCCAGGCTAGTCTCAGTCCATGGTCCTCCTGCCCTTGCCCCCCAGGATGAGACTACACATGTGAGCTACCACACTTCCAACTGTGATCCTGCTGCCACTGCCTCCCAAGTGCTGGGATTTACGTCCCACTATGCCCAGTGGTCATAATTCAAAATAAGCTAGCAGAGAGGAATGTGAGTGTTCTGAACACAAGGAAGTAATAAATGTCTGCAGTGGTAAGTACGCCAGTTAGCCGGATCTGATCATGTATATATTGCATACATGTGTTAAAACGTCACACTGCAGAACACATGTTTTAAAAATAAAAACATTTATTGCTGCTCAGGAGGCAGACACAGGGATGATCATGGTTTAAGACCAGCCTGAGTAATAACTAAAGCAGAAAAGGGCTGGTGCTGGAGGAGGGGCTCAAGTGGTGGAGCACCTGCCTAGCAAGTGTGAGGCCCTGTGTTCAAACCCCAGTGCCACCAAAAAACAAAGAAACCAAACCAATCAACCAACAAAACTCCCCCAAAACACATTTTTAAAAGTGGCTGAAGTGAGAACAGTGCTGTCTGGATATATTAAGTATTCCATAATGTTTTATTTATAATGGCAAGAAAAAATTCCTAATAAAAGGTGCATATTATCAGGAACATTTTAAAAGTGGTGGTTGGAACATGAGTACTACTTTATGCATGGCTTCCCTGAAGGAAAAGGTGGTCCCTCCACCTGGGGCACCCACAGCAGTCAATGCTGCAGAAGGCGGCCCACCCAACCTATGGCGTCACCCCCGCCTGAGAGATCCTTTTGTTTAATGTAGGTTCTGTGTCAAGGCCCCTAGCCACCACAAGTGGGAGAATGCTCTCTTCCTGATGAACCACCACACATCCTGGATCTTTCACTGTCCTGCCATTTAGGCTATGGCTGCCATGGCCAAGGGCGAAGTTTGGGTCTGGGTGGATCTGGGTGGGTCTGGGTGGGTCTGGGTGGATCTAGGTGGGTCTGCCCCAGGACACAACAGCACCGCAGCATCACCTCCCAAGCCCTCCAGGACCGAGATCCTGGAGATCTGTGTTGCCATAGATGTTTCCCCACTGGGAAGTTCCCAGACAGAATAGGCCAAAAGAGGCCCTGGAAGGTGAGGCTCCCTCACCAGGAGAGAAACCACAAAGGGAGACACACAGAGAAGACAAAGCTTGAGATCCCATGTGGCCTCCACCAGCCCTGACAGAAGAAGACTCTGACAGAGATGATTCCCATCAAAAAATGGCACCAGAACCTTCATGCTCTCGATTGCGTGTTCTTTTCTTTTTCCCTTTAAAAAACTCTTCAGAAATGTAAGACCATTCTCAGCAAATGGGCTACAGATGGGTTATGGCCCAAGCCATATGAGGAATGTTTTTTATATTCTAAATGAACATTAAAAGTAGAAAGTGCACAGCAAATTCTGAGATTTTAGGTTCAAATCCTTTTGGGAGGGTGTTTAAGTCCTGACTTGAACCAAGAGCCCTCTACAGTTGTGCTCTAGAGCAGAGAAGGCACACAGCCAAGGTTCCTCCTGCCCCAAGGCGACCTGCAACAGCCACCAAATCAACTCTGAGGATGGATGTGTGTCTCCTCAACCAACACGGCGACCTTCTCCTGATGCCCAGCACTCAACTGGAGCCTGGGCTTGGCCAGTGAACGTGTATGGAGGGGAGCACACAGGTGGAGGGGAGCGTGTGTGGGGGTCAGCCAGGGTGACCCTCCATGCCCCACCACAGCAGCTTTCTGGCAGCCTGGGCACCACTGATGCCCCAGCTTGTAACTCACTAAGCTCCACCACAAGACCTTGCCGCTTGCAAGCACCCTGGCTTTGGCCCTCAGTGAGACCTCCTTAGGCAGGCCCACACTGTGGTGCTCCAGCACTTCCTTCCCAGCGTGGGACCCTGCCTCTCTCCTGACCACAGCATGAGGATGGAGCTCTGTCAGCATTGCTCACACCACATCCCAGCACCGGCAGCGTGAGGGCTTGCTGCTGTATGGAGGCGCAGCAGACCTTGAACAGTCCAAAGGGAAGCCCTGTCCATACCTGAATGCCTGCGTGACTACACAGGTAGAAGTCGAACTCGGTCGGGTGGGTGATCTTCGTGTCCACAGTTGTGCCTGCTGGAATGTTCCCACTCTTCCCAACCTGCAGGGACACAGCAGTCTCATCATATATAGGGTGGGTGAGAAGAACAGACAACAATCAAGCAAGACAGAGCTGTGTGCTGCCTGCCCAGCACTGACCCATGCAAGGTTTCTAAACTGGTAAATGCATTGGCTCAGAGGGGAAGAACCACAACAAAATCTAAGACGCACTGAAGAAACTGTCTGACTTGCACTGGGCTGTGTTTTGCACCTCAGGAAGATGCATGAATTAAAGGCAGTGCTCTTCCCGCAGGCCCAGTGTGCACCCTTAACTCAACACTGCACGAACACCCGCTGACACACAGCACTGAATAGCCTCGTGAGGCCAGTGAATAATCCCCCCTTTCCTATTCTCCAACAGTCTGTCCTTGAAGGTTTGGTGAAAACTACCTGTGAAAATCTCTCAATTAAACTCATAAAATAAGTAACTCCCCACACATCTGTAACACTATAGGATATCTACTGCTGAAGGTTTGAAGCTTTTCCCTGACGCTCTCTGGGTTTGAAACCTTTTGGGGTGGGAGGTTTATAAGAATGATTGTTTGATCTATTTTCTTGAGCTGGTTTTGAAGATTTATACACTTCCACAAATACCTGCACCTGTTTCTGTTAAGTCTCCAAATTTATTGGCCTAAGTTGTTAATGCCATTCCATCTGATTTGATGACATTTATTCTTCCAGCAGCTATGGCTCCTGTTCTGCTCCTGGCAATGAGGCGAGTGTCTTCTTGCTTCTGCGGCATCTTCTAGGTCTAGAGCAGACCCTTGGTATCGTGGGGATACAGTTCCAAGAAGACCCGTTGAGGGAAAACCACGTGTGCTCAGGATGCACAGAGTTCAGAACTGAGGGTGCATGATTCATTTTCACGTAACACCTCTGACTTTTGTTAAAGACACGCCAATTCCCAACCAAGGTGGAGTTTTCACTTCATCATTGAAATTAAGCACATTCACTTTTACCTTGCTTTTTGGGAATCAGATTTTCACACAATGAAGGGCAGGAAAACCCTATCACGCAAGATTTTAAATGCAACTGATGACGACACCGATCTGACAGACAGAATGTCTTCTCACAGACTGAGCTGTGGAGTGCACACACAAAAATTTAAAATTGTTCTTAAAATTTCTTTCGACTATTTGGCCATGCTTGGTCTCAACTGTGTCATACATCTGCCAATGAGTGGCCTACTGTATTTTCAAGGAAGCAGGTTTGGCTTTAATCTCCTCCATTGCTTCTTCATTTTCTGCTTTCATTACTTTCCATTCTGGGAAGGGGAAGGGGATGTAGTCCTCGCAGGAGTCAGCTGCCTCCTCAGCCCTTTTGCCTTCTGGCGACACAGACCTGGGGGCCGAGCAGGGGGCAGGAGCCAAGCCATGGGCTCCAGGGCTTTCCTTCAACTCTTGAGGACCTAGGCTCTTCTTCTACCCTTTCCGTCTTTAGGCTCATTATTGTTCTCATTCTTGTCTTGAAGGCACCTAAGTCTGTAGACTATGCTTTTTAGCTGCATTGCATAAGATCTGGTGTCAAATTCTTTGGTTTCTATTTTCATGACATACTTAATGTATGTGCTACTTAGCAGTGAAAGGTCTTAAACTTCGCTTCTCCTACTGTTGATTTCAAATTTAACTGTAAGCCTGGCACCAGTGGCTCACGCCTGTAATCCAGAGATCAGGTGGATTGAAGTTTGAGGCTAGCCCAGGCAAAAAAGAGATCTTACCTCAAAAATACCCAAACACAAAAAAGGGCTGGTAGAGGCCATGAGTTCAAACCCCAATACTGCCAAAAAGTGAATAAATAAAAATTAAAATAAATAAATTTAATTGTATAAGGACCAAAAATTCCCAAGAGGTCTGGAAATCTCTTGAGACTCCCTATCCTGCCAGGACAGCTGTCACCCCCTTGCATGTGGATGCAGCCATCTATGGGCAGGATTTATTACATCCATGTCCTCAGACCACTCTTCCAATTCTCCATGCTCACTCACATTTTGCCTGCTTTAATTTCTGAGAGTGTGTTAAAATGTCCTTCTTCCAAGGTGGCTTGGTCACCTTCCCCTCAAAATTCTCAGCTTTCTCTTTACTTTCTCCTGTATACAATTTTGGGCATGGTGCTGGGTACGTTCAAGACCACAGCTGCTGAATTTTGCTGGTGAACTGTTCTTTCATGACGACAGCCCTTGGCTCTCTTTGTCTTCACTTACACAGAGTGACCATCCTTCGGCACTGAAGGGATCCTGGCCTACCAGTGTCTGTCCCCATGGTGACCAGTTCCAAATCTGAGGTTGTCAGCCTGAGGTCTTAACCCAAAGGGCCGTGTCTAACTCAGGCAGCTGCCTTGAGGTGAGGCTGCAGGAAAATGTGTGCTGTCAGGGGCACATGAGACACTTGTAACCAGAGGACTTCTATTTTCTTTGGCTGTAGAGAATTCTTAGTGGTTACGCCTGTGGAACGAACACCCGAAAACCACCTTCCAGTGCTTCCAGACTGTCTCTCATGAGGGGCCCCAGCCCAACTCCATTCTACCATTCTTTGTGGCTGTACTGCCTACAGCTTTGGTTTCTGACTAATTCTTTCTCAGAGTTGCCTCTTTTGGTCATTTGTGGATAAATGACATCTCATGCCTAGATCAGTCCCTGATCTACAAAATTTGTAAGTTAAGACTTCTCATCAAAGCCAGGGCCCTTCCCCCACAAACCTGGGACAGCAACCCTGTGGCTGGCAGGTCCTCTGTGAGCACGGCTCTGAGTAAGGGCTGAAGGGAGAGCCTCCCTCCCCAGCACACTGCTGTGCCACATCGCGATACTCACCCGCTCGTTCTTGTCAGTGCAGAAGAGCCGTGTGTGGTGCCTCTTCTGCACCACGATGAATGTGATCCCTGGCTGGTAATCCTTCTCCAGCTTGATGCAGGCCTCGCGGATGGCCAGCAGCTCGTGATGGAGAACCTAGGCAGGGAGTGGGGAGGAGGGACCTGCTTCAGGGGCCCTTTTCCCCCAGGCCTTTTGCTGAAAACGAATGCCTAGAATGTGTACTACTAAACAAACATGGGGTGAGCTGCCCAGATCTGCAAGCTGCTCAGTGTGTGACTCTGCCTTTCTGACCCCTTATTTTCACCTACATAATGGAGCCAAGGATACCCAGATTTTGTGGCTAAGTGGCTAAAATTAGAAAGTGCACAAAACTACCTGGCACAGCCTCCAGAATGCACCTCCTTCTCTTGGTCCATCCTGCCTGCACACCATGAACCCATTTAGGCCAGAGTCTGAACAACCCCAAGTCGCACAGCATCCACCTGACCAGCCTTCCACCCTGTGATCAGATCAATGGTGGTCTGTCCTCACATGAGCAAGTGGGGAGGAAACAGGAATCACAGCCACCTAGGAAAGACAGTGCTGGGAGGGCGGCCCACCTGCTGGAACTGGCCTTCAGAGACCCCGTCACGGTAGAAGATGATGCGGGTGGGCTTGAAGCGAGTGGACTTGTAGAACTGGATGAGGAGCTCACGTACCATGGCCGCCAGGTCCTGGATGATCTCCTGCCGGTGCTGCTGCACACGCACAGTGGCGCAGTAGCGATTGGGGTGTGCATCCATGCTACCCACCACCTGGAGGGAAATTCAGTGAGCACTGGGCAAGGGTTCTCCAGACTTCCTCTTCCAGTGTGTACTGGGAGAGTGGCCAGAGGGTGGGGAGAAGTGTCCCCTTGGAAAGGTGTCTCTGCTTTCTTTGGGTGTCCAAGTATATTCCACAGAACAAAAGCTCACCTCAGGTACACAAGAAAAATGGACAATTAGCACCTTATGCTGCTTGTGGTTGGATGTGGTGAACTCATCCATCCAAAGACAGTGACTAAGGAGTGTCCCTAGTTTTCTAAGGTGAACTTTTTCAAAGAGTCACCTGCATGTCAACACACAGTATACCTCAGATACTGGTCCTTAGGAAGGACAGAGCCTCCCAAGGCAAGTCAGCTGTGTGAGGGTCTCCTATAGGTGTCAACCAGAGAGAATATGAAGAAAGCAAGCCCGTGATCACCAGGATTCTTTGCTCATGGGCCTGAGGGAGTCCTGTGAGGTCAAACAACCAGCTGCTTCCACAATGAAAGTGCTGCTGAAGTCGTTGGTGCTACTGGAAGGCAGACCCTGGTTCTTGGCCACCTGCTGCTTCTCAGGTTCTCCCAGATTCCTGGTCCTGTTTGCTTGGGGCTACAATGTTTCACTCAAACGAACTGAAAATAAATAGACCCTGAAATGTTGCGACCAACTGAGAACTGTGAGCATCTGGGAAAAACACATTTCTGCTCCTGAGAATTTCAGAAACATGGCTAAGTAAGCCTCCAAAACCCAGAGACAACAGGCGCTAACAGAACCAGGTGATGGCAAGATTGTTGGGCCAAAGTCCCCTGAGCCCCCGAAGCCCCCCAGGCCTCCTCCTGAGCCCACTTCCTCCTCAGCAAGCCAGAGCACAGGGACGCCAAGTAACCTGCTGATGTGCTCCCTGTAGATCAAAGAAAAGAGCCACGAACACTCAGCAGAATGAGAAAACACTCCTCACACAGGAGGTGCAGGCACCTATCACTACTGGGCCAAGCAGCAGGAATGGCCTTACTTACAGGACGCTGACTTGGCTAAGGGAGCGTGGCCCCTGCCTAACAGGCCCACTCTCTGTGTGTGCCGTATACACGCGCACAGCGAGTACAGCAGCTTCCTTCTACCAGGGAGCTGGCCTTGCAACTGAAGGTCTTGTCAAGGTCATTTGCTAAGCACCTACTCCGAGCCAGGGCATCACGACACAGACCACTTTACGATACTCTCAGCAGGTCGGCAGGCATTGTCTCAGATAAGTGAGACCAACAGCAAAAAAAATCTGGGGCCATGACAGGCTCAGGGCTGAGGCTAGCGCCTCCCTGCTCAGAGCAGGGTACTGGGGTCACCAAAGCCAAGGCTCCTAATCCCCTCCCAGCAGCTCAGCACTTCCCTGAGACACTTCTCCGAGGGAGCCTGGGGCACTTAAGGGGATGACGCTCTGAAGGTTTCAGGCTTCCGGGGACTGCTCAGCCATCTCAGCTACAGAAATATTTAGGGTCTAGCAAAAGACAACACCGAATGCCCTTTGCATTCTAACGTTTAAAGCCTCACTATTCGTGGTTGGTTCAGCCCTTTGAAAGGTGGCTGTGACAGGACGCCCTTGTGAGAACAATGCTCCCTCACACGACAATGGCTTCTCAGAGCCTCCACACGCCAACCTCAGCACCCTCTCCAATCTCGTGCTTGCTCTGAGGCCCTGATCTCACCATCTGAGCCAACTCCCATGCCTTTCAGGAAGAAAGTCCACTGAGGGCCCCCTGAAGTGGCATGTCACTGGCCCAGAAGAAAGTGCTGACACTCACAGCAGCTATTGAAGGCTTCTTCCCATCCCCAGCAGGCGGGTGGGTGACATCAGCGCCAAGAAAGATGACAGGCTGCTGGAACACTGGAGGCCTGTGGGGGAAGCAGGCATTAGAGGCAGAGGCAGAGGCTCTGATGACATAGTTACCAGAGCTCCTCTCTGGCTGGTAAGGGTGCAAAGCTATATTTTATAACAGAATCTTTATCTTTAAAGATTTGCACAGAAAAGTCTTACAGGTGAAGCAATACAAAGTCTGAAGTAAGCTTCAGAGCAACCAGGGAGGGAGGGGAGAGCGGTGTACATTCCACACTAGAGTGGCTGGGTACTGATGCTGTGAAGTTAGGGTCAAGCATGGAAATTCATCATTGCCCTCCTCTACCTTCATACAGGCCTGGAAACCCCTCCCCCCAAATTCTATGGCTTGCTACTCAGTCTTCAACCTGCAACTTGCTATTACCACAGGGCTCCTCACTCTCCCACCACTCTATTGGGGATGGGCTGACCTGAGCCGGAAAGGAGGCTGAGCAGCATCCTCAGGCCCCACCCACCAAATGCGAGTAGTGTCCCCGAGTCCTGACATCCCAGACTATCTTCTGTCAACGCCACACATTTCAGCTAAGGACATTAGGTGCCAGCTGGCTTCATTCTCACCTCCTGGTGACCTGTCAAGTTCTTTTAAATGGCTGGGCCCGTAACACAGGGGCACCAGGAAGCACAATGCTGGCTCTCTTCCCGGAAATAACAAGAGCAGAGACCCATGTCACACCTCTGCCTGTGGCTGCCATCTCCCTGCCCTACAGCTGAATACTGGACATTGTGGCCATTAGAAAGGGGTTCCAGGCTAGGGTCCATCCCTACCTGCCATCTTATAATTCTTACCAACTGCCTAGGTGGTCGTTGGTGCCAAAAAGCCCTGATTCTTCTTCTAAAGGGTAGGATGGGACTATCCAGAGAGAGCTAAAGGGCACTGGCACTCACAGACAGAGAGAGGAAGCCAGAAGAGTATCTCTGCCTCCCAGTGTGTGGGGGTCAGTTCCTCAGGACATGGAGCCTGGGATGAGGTGACCCTAAGTCAGGGCTGGCTCAGGACCTCACAGACTCAATCTTCCTCAGCCTCCACAGCACTACTTAGCAGGTGCTTGTCCCAACCCTGCCCATGTTCTATGGCTGGGACAGCAGGCTAGCCGTGGAGTTCTGCCCAGTACGTACAGCAGACTGCTGGCTTGAGGTGTGCTATGCAAAGCAGGCTGCAAGAGAGAGGGCAAGACTGAGATTTTGGTGGAACCACGAGGCTAGACACTGGCACCTATACATGCCACAGGGCCTATGGCCAGAGTCTGCAGGGGACAGGTGATCGGAGGCACCGTGAGTTCTCTGCAAGCTTCCCAGGCAGGCTGCCATGCAGAGAAGCTACAGAAGTGCCAACAAGCACACTACAGAACACACTGTGGCCACTTCCTGCTCAGGTAAGGCACACCCACACGACAGTACCCATGACAGGGGACAAGTTCCCCTTCCATCTCCAGTGTGGTGTGGGTCCAGCCGTGAGGGCTATGCACCCTGGCTTCTCTGGGTTGCCTTGCAGGTGTCTAGCCCTAGCCCTGCTGGCCACTCCCTGCCAGGGCACAGGCACTTCAGGCAGCTGGCTGCTTCCTGCATATCCTTGTCACCGACTAACTGCTTACAAGGAGGGAAAAGACTCTGAGAATATCACATATCCCATAGCTATGAGCTCCATATGGGTACAGGACAGCATCTCAGTCCTACTAATCACGACCTTGATCCCAGTGCTCCTCAGCATTCCCTGTCCACCCCACTCTGCTGCCACCAGGGCCGCTGGCAGCACCCTCATTTACAAAGTTAGGTGTGACTCCCCTGTGACAAGTTAAACCACACCCGCCCTCAGCTTTGAACCCCATGCTGTCTCCCAGGCTGCCCAAGCCAGACTTCACACTGCCATGCAACAAGACTCCTCTTTCCAAGGTCTCCAGTAGCCTCCACGTCACCCAACCCAACAGACAGATGCCAGGACTTGTCCAGCATTGTGTGACAAAGAGGACTCCCGCTGCCTTCCTCCCCGGTCTCTCCTTGTCTCCACTGCCAGTGTTCTCACGAACTTTACACTGGAACTTCTTCCCAGGGCTGACTCTCTCCACTCATCCCAACGGACCTCATCAAGCCTTGTGGCTTTTAATACCTGCTGTACATGAAAGAGTCTCAAACTCCATCTCTAACACCAGAATCTTATTTCTCACATGTCCTCATCCTCTCTGTGCACGCATCCTGTGGAGGCCGGATTCCAGCTGTCCTGTGCCAAGCTGCTCATCCTGCATTTGGCCACACATCTCTAATGCTAGCTGGGTCTCTCTGGAGCACAGACTGAGGGCCTTGGAGCCAGCCTTGCTTCTTCCCTTTCATTCTTTCAGCTCACAGCCTAAATCCTGAAGACCAGTAAGCCCTGGAGTCTGGCCCAAGTCAGCAGGCCCCTCTCCACACAGAGCCACAGCTGGTCATCCAGAACACAGGTCAAGTAGGCCCCAGACCCTCATCTCCACCACTCTCAGTGTGGTACTCTGCAACTCAGTCCTTCATCGGGTAATTCCAAACACTCCTGGCTGGCTCCCACTGTGGGGTTCTTGCTCAAACCCTCTGCTGGAGTATTCTTGCACACACCTGCAACCCTGGCCCCTGTGGTCAGCTCACATGCCACCTGCTAGGGAAGACCCCCTAGCATAAGTGAAACCCCAACTCCTCACTCTCCTGAGCTCATCCCTCCACCAGGGCAACACCAATCACTTGTGCATCAGGTGTGATTTCCTTATGGACCGCTCTTGTGTGGACCCCTTCACTAGGAACCTAAAACTTGGTCTCTGTGCTTAGTACTTATGGCACAACTCCCCATGCACAGCAGAATCTGCTGCTTGACAGAACAGCACCCCAAGTTCCCAATCTTCTGTGGATGTGACCTTGTTTACGGTTATGGACTTGTGAGAGTAGAGCTACCTGCACAACAGAGCCAGGATTAGGCTCCAGAACCACCACACAACCACCTCCTCAGCTCAACAGCTCTGCCCAGTGACCGGAGCAGCTTTGTGGCTAGGTGTGGCTTGTCCAGCAGCAGCAAATGAACTGTGGGGCAACTTGACAGGAGTGGGAGTTCTCAGGCCCACTCCTGACCTACCGGTCACACACTGGTTAACAAGCCTGTAGAATACTGACACTGGCTCAGAGCTGAGAATGTTGGGGGCTTTGGGGTGCCCATCGGAGGCTTGTGTGTTGGACGCCTGGTTCCTAGTGTGAGGTGGGCCTAGGGAAGATGGTCAGGTCCCTGAGGCACCACCCTTGGAAGGGACTAATGCCTGTCTGGCAGGAATGGGTAAACAACTCTAAGTGTGGGCTGTTACAAAGTGAATTCAGGGTCCTCCCACTGTGTGACCTTCCCCGTTTTCTTCTTATAGTATTCAGCCTCATGTATTTCCTTCTAGCAAAATGACCAGTTTTTAGAAGTCTGCCCATGTGTTGCTTCTCCATGAGTGTTTTCCAACTCAACAAGCGAAGCAACGATCACCTACAGTCTTCATGATGACCCTTTTACACCCAGACAGTTTGATTCACTGAACAGCCTAACTCTTAGTTTTCACCACTGGAAGACACTACAGGGGCTAACAGTAAAATCTCCATGACAACACCTGTCATTGCACCAGCCCCTTCTGCCTGTATCAGAGGCCCACAAATGCTAGCCTCAGCCTTGTCTTGAAACATTTAGAGGGGATGCCAGGCCCAGGGGCTTGCTGACAGGCAGCGCTCAGCTATGCTTTCTGGCCCTGGCCTGGGCTCCACCTACAGTACAGTGTCTGAGTCCCACGCATTCAGACACCAGCATTAAGCAGTGCCTGCTACGAGTCTGGCATGGGAAGCACAGGAAATACTGGGGTCTCCATGGCAGCTACTCTCCAGAGTCCAGGAGATGAACCGGGGAAGACCAGCTCCTCACCACTGCAAATGTGTCCCACCGGCCGTAGCCCAGGGAGGAAGACCTGTGATGGGCCTGTACTGTCCCACAACCTCTACTTCCTGCAGATGTCCCTGGTCCCTGAGAGTCTGTGGGCAGCAGGATGTCTGACTTCTCTAATCTATTGTGTCTGAGATGGCACTCAGCTGGGGTGAAGGAAATCTACCTGCTGTGCCCTGCACATATCACAGAAAACCACCCAGTGGGCCACACTCCCCACTGGGGCAGAAGGGCTGGCCTCACCTGCCCTGTGGCAGCAGAATATTATTGACGCCTCCCAGTTTGACGTTGATTTTCAAACAGAGGTTGGACAGGGTCTGCGGCGTGGTTCTCTGCACATTCTTCATCTGTACACATTGCGTGGCCATCCCCAGCACCGTGTCTCCTACACGCTTGACTTCAGCTGTGGAATGTGAAGGTGCACACATCATGGCTTCTGAAAGCCTAGCTGGCCCCTGGGCAGGCAGCCATTTCCAGTCCCCACTGGAGCTGCACTGGTGCAGTGCTGAACCAAAGCAGCTGCACTGGGCATTTGGGTCCCCGGCATACTGGAGGGGCCAAGCTCCTGGCCAACTCCTATTTTGGCAGTGCCAGGCACCTGTGCTTATTTCATGACATCAGTAAGGGAAGCTGGGTGGGCATCTCTCACTCCTCCAATTTGTGAACCAAAGCAATTTATATGACGTACGCAGGGCCACAGGCAGGATGGGCAGAGTCTGGTTAGAATAGAGAGCTTGGCATTCATCATCAGGAATGACACTTCATATTATAGTAAACAGCAGGCCAGTTAAAAATAAAAACACTGGCATCCTCCTCAAACGCCTTGCTTGGCATATGCAGACCTGACATCAAAGAGCCCTTTGGGCCCAGCCTCCACTTTATATCCCTGGATTCTTCACAAAGCAGCTGGTCACTGCTCCAGGGCACTTCCATAGAAAACATAACTCCCAGGGAAGTATTAATAGCACATTGACACCAATGGCTTTCTGGTTCCTTCTTTTTTGGAGCTGGAACTTAGAGGAGAGCAGTGTAGCTTCTGCATGTCCAAAATATATTTGACAAGATAGGGAATCCTGCTGGTGACTACCACCAAGTCCCAGCTGCTTACCTTTGCCCCATGGCAGCCTCTGGACTACAGGCTCTCACGCTGACACCCCTCTCCTGAGAGCCTCTGGTTCCCCACTATGGTACAAATTACTCTCACATCTCCATTCCAAAGTCACCTGTCCACAATATCTCCCCACTATCTGGGGCCTTCCTAAAAGGAGGGCTGTGTGTGATATTCTCTGTACCCTCCATGGGCGGGGGCGCCATCACCCTTGTAGCTGGCTGAATGTGTAACTACCCGTTGAGGAACACCCAGAATCTGAGATGCACAGAGATGACAAATGTTGAACTGAGCACTGACGAATTAGGGAGACTCCATCTCCCCTCAGGCCAGCTTCTGTGCCACCTGGGGCTGGAGTCCCAGGACTGTGGCTTCAGACAAGACAATGAGGCTGGCCCTGAGTAGTGGCTTGGGGTGATCAGAGCCGCCCCTTCTTTGGGCTACAAACAAACACTACTCAGGGCAGCAAAACTCAAAGAGGCTTAGGCAGCCACATCCACAGAGATGCCCACAACTCCCACGGCCCTGCAGAGAGGGACCAGATGCCTACCATAAACAGGGGTCTTGCCAGGCAGGATGACCACCACCAGCTGGAGGCCGGCGTATGTATTCTTCAGGTGCCGAAACATGGGCTCCACACTGTCCGCCCCCTGGGCATATTTGCAGAAGCATGGCTGGCCCTGGATGGGCATGCCAGCATCTCTCGAGATTTTTCTGAGCTGCTCCGTGAAGGACCTGAAGGAGAAGGTCCACTTGACTAAAATGCACAGTAAATGACAAGGTGTCCAACTAACCAGTGGCCCCGAATAAAGGGCACAAGTGTACCAAGGCCAAAGGCACACTTATGCAGATCGGGATTATGTTTCTGTTGTTTTTTGAGATAGGATCTCACTGGATAGCCTAGGCTGGTCTCAAGCTCTCCATCCTCCTCCCTCAGCCTACCTGAGTACTGGGGTTACAGGCATGCACCCCCACACTGGGCTAGAATTACGTTTCAAGTCCCAGACAAAGCTAGAAACCAAATGAACAATGAGAGGGATGAACAAGCTAAACATCCTCAGAGGCCACTGGAAGTGTCTGTGGCAGCTGTGCCAAGATAAAACGGCAAGCACGCGGTCACCAGGGCCAAAACACCTAGTGTGCAGTGACGAAGTGCAGTCTTTCAGGGCAGCGTGCAGCAGCGGCTGCTAAACTGCAGGCCAGAGCAGCTCTAAGTCAGGTCCATCACAATGGGAGGCAAACACCAGTTCACTGTCCTTTTGGGTTTTCCCAGTTATTTTAAGTGGGTTACTTGGGTTCATCAATAGTCACAGGAGGAAACAGAAGAACCCACAGCTGTAGCAATGTTGGCAGCCAAGCTGGCTGGCCTTGAGACTCAGTTGGGCAAGGAGACAGGTCCATGGCTTCTATGTTTTACTTAAGACTCCTGTCAGCCATTAGGGTGTGGAGACTGTTATCCACCAGCTGTCAGTACAGGTGGAGACACAGGTGTGTGCACCTGCAGTTTCTTTTACAGATGAATGTGCCTCAGTGACATTCGGCTCCAGGTGAAGGCAGAAAGAGGGGGCCAAGGATGGAAGATGGGCAAAAGAGATGCCCAGCTTCCAACTCTGTCTCCCAAACCCTCCCTCTGGGCTTCCTGCTCCTGTCAGCAGCTCAGGCAAAAGGTGGCCTCCAATGGACCACAGCGTCTTGCTGCTGGTGGGGCAGCCACACAGAACAGCCCCCTTGTTGGGATGGTGGAGTTATCAGTTACACCCAAAGTACACCCCAAAGGCTTTGGGTGTTTCCCCCACACCCCCAGAGAGGAGGCAGCAGAAGATTTACTTCTCCTTTTAACACTGACACGTAAGCATGAGTCACAGGACGGTGGCTCCTGACAAAGGTCAGGCCTGCTACTGGACTGATTCAGAAGGGGAGAGCTCTTCTGAGGCCCCTGGGCTTCCTAGATGGCCAGCCATCTCACACAAACCACTGGACAGGTGGCATGGCCCTCAGCCAAGGCTTCCTTCCCTCATTTTAGTTACTGCCTTGTGAGGCAAGGCAGGAAGGGACACTCCCAGCCCTCCCACCATACCATCCCTTCCTCATTCTGCCTTCATTTCTCCTCAATTTATAGAAACCCCGAAGCACTTCCCCCCCACCTCAAATAATTTTAGTGCACTGAACCCAAATTCCTCTTTTGCTTGTACTTCTATTTTTTTTTTTATTTGAGACTTATTTCTTTTTATTTATTGATTCTGGCAGGGCTCAGGTGCTCTACCACTTGAGTCACGTCTCCAGTCCCTGCACTTAATCATTTCAGAGTCTCACTAGGCAGCCTCAGACTCTTGGCTTTAAGCAATCCTCTGCCTTGGCCTCCTGGGCTTCTGGAACCAAAGGTGCATGTATTCCATGTCCTGGTCCGCCTGCACTTCTAACCTCGAGGCTCAGACCCTAAGGCTTCATCTTGGGACCCCAGAGTCAAAGGCATAGGCCAGCCCACCCCAGGCAAATCCTCTGTGTTAGGGAACAAAGAATGATGTCCACCAATACCAGAACCCCAGTTGACACACCCCCCCCCCACCCTGCCAAAGTTGGTCTCCCAATTGGTCACCAACCCCTGCCTGCCCAGCAGAGCCAAGGCCAGGTGCTCTGGTTTGTACATGGGCTTACTTAAGATGGACTTCCGTGCACTGGCGCTGGGGCGCGAAGCAGGCAATAGCCCACACCTTGATCTCGATGCCGGTGTGGAACTGCTTGTTCCTCATGTCCCAGACACCCTGGACAGGGGTGGCAATCGCTTTGTTCTGCAAATAGCAAGAAACTTGGAGTGAGAAAAAAGTAGAAAATGCAGTACTCTGACCTTGGATCGTGTCACCCTTTGTAGGCACCCCAATCAACAATGGGCCCCAACATACCTGCATGCTGTCTCCCACCCCCCACCTAACTAGCACTGTAGGGAACCTGTGCACATTCGCAGAAAGGCGGATGGAGAATGAATGCATTAGTAGATGGGTACATGGAGGTAGGTTAAAGGAGTTGGGTGGATGGAGGCTAAGGCAAGGAGAGCAGGGAGGGCTCAGAGATCCATCCAGCCTCCAGAGAAGAGAGCCCTCTGTGGTGCCACAGGAAAGCCTGCTTTTCCGTGAAATGTTGCCCCGTGACACAGATCTACCATCAACGAGGCTGCCAGGGGAGAAAAGGAAGGCCAGTGAGCAGAGAGCAGACAGGCTGAGGATGGAGCCCTCAGTCTATCGCTTTTCTATTACTTGTAGTCGGATCAGACAAAGCTGGTCCCACTGGGAAAGGGAAATACCTGGTCCACCAAGGACCTGCAAGGCAAAAGGTATAAGCTTCTGGGAAACAGTTCAGCCCTGGTAGAGTGTGTCATCAAAGGAAGAATGGTGCCTTCTAAATTCTGATGGGACCCAGGGACCTTCTGAAAACATTAGGGCTAATTCTGAAACTTTTCAGAAAGAAGGCTATAGGTACAGGCCAGAGCAGAAGGAATCCATACCCTGACCAGGGTCAACATCACAGATGAGGCTCGGAAGCTGAAGGGGAATGAACACTGCTGCTTCACAGTGTCTCATACAAATTCACCTACCCTGCCCCCATACAGGATGGAGGGCGGCTGCAGAACCCGCCCAGTCACATCTGTCATCTCGTCTTTGACCATGATTCCAAATTCACGAACGTAGGGGTCTGTATTAAAACTTGCACTTCGCATCTTGAAAAGGGAAGAAAGAAAAAGGCAGGAGTCAGACAGGGCCTCTGTTACTCCTAGCACCCATGTCTGTCCAAAGTCGTGGGGGAGCTGGGGCGGAGGGGAGTACGTCCTCCTTGTTGTGGTTCTCCACCCCGGACTGATCTCAAAACTCAGCGCTCACCAATTTGCTAATCTCTTCCTGCCGATCTGGCGCTGACCTGGCAGTTGCTCTGATCATGGTTGAGGTCTGATTGTCCGTTAATTTCTTTATACATCTCTGTCCTGCCACTATGTTACAGACCTACAAAGAAGATGCAGACATTTCAGAGGCCGAGCACTAGGGCTTGCGCCCTGGCACATGACAGCACTCATCACAGAAAGCCCTCTAGGCAAAGTTAGCAGGACGCAAACACACACATCCTGCATCCTTAGCACTAGTCCACCAGGTGTGAAGAGGTGGGTTCCACTTGAGAGTTCCTAGGGCTCTCTCTCTGCTCCTCAGTGGATGAAATGGGCTTCCCAAGAAAAGAAAGTCCTGGACCAGGATACTGGAAAAGCCAAGTCTCAACTGAGCAATCAAAAGGTAACACTCAAGGAGAAGAGTTAAGACGCATTTGTTCCATCTTTTCCCAAGCATCAGTTAGCCTTGATGCTAGACAAGAAGTAGGTGAAGAGTCAGCACAGGTACCTGCCAGGTCACATTCCACTCCCACACCAATCCACTACAGCTGCTAATCCCATCCTGTCACAGGGCTCAGCAATATCCACCAGCGAGCCAGAAATCCCACAGTGGAAGACAATGAAGTTTGGGACCTGCTGTTTCTCAGGTACACTCCCACTCCATTCTCCTCCCACCTAGGAACCCAATGCCTCAGGGAGGTGACGGTAGCAGATGGCCACTTGCCTCCAAGGGAAGGTAGGTGTGTTTCTGCTCCTGTCCAACTTGTAAACATGGGAGGTGGGGGTAACGCAGAACCAGCTTGTGCCTGTCCTTGAAGTACTGAGCCACTGTGCACTCTACCGTCTGCCCACTCTCCTGCTGCAGCGGGAACCTGGGGAGCAAAGACAAGGTCAGGGGAGAACACGCAGGGCTCCCTGGAATGGCCAGCTGAGCCAGTGCACAGCATCCCCAGGGCTGTGTATTTTATCTCCTTTGCTAGGGTGATGGAAATAAAAAGTAAATCCTGTTCCGTGGGTGATCTGGACTACTGCAGAGCCCCTCTACTCTCATTTGGTCTCTATCTGCACAAGGTAAGCAACAATTGTAAACTACCCTCAACACCTACAGAGACTATCATGAATTCAGGACAAATGAAACAAATCCAGAAAGGCCTGTGCGTGTCCAGCAGACCACGATGATGCTGGGTTACAGATCATCCCAGAGGGGACCTAGACCTTCAAAGACAGCTCCAGGATGGGAGCTGCAGGTCATGGATCTGTGGTCTTTGTGTGGGGACTGAGGCAGGAGCAGATGCCTGAGAGTAGAACAGCGGAGAGCTCTGTGTTTCATATGCTCAGAAAAGATGGCCCCCAGTGGGGGACAGGCCACATGGCCATGCCTTTCCTGCGCCGACTCCTTTGTCCCATGCAGATTGTCGGGCAATGTGTTGACTCTGGAGGTGACAGGGAACAGACCTGGCTAATCTCTCCCTGCTGTCTGATGAGCGCATGGGCACCTTGGTCTCTCCAGTGCCCAGCAATGGGCTGGGCATTTTCCATGAATGACCACGAAATAAACAGGTAAGTCTTCACTGGTCCAGCAGACTCAGAATCGGGCACAGGGTCCAAAGTTATGTCCAAACTTATCACACTCCCACTAAGACAAACACTGCATTCTTGCAGCCAGGCAAATGGATGACACAGTCTGTGACAAACTGTTCTTGGAGTCATGAGACAACACAAAAGAAGACAGGTGGACTACGCAGGCAGCAGAGGCATCCTCAGAGGCCTAGATCTGTCCAGCACCCACACCCACACACACCCACACCCACACCCACCCACACACCCCACCCCCCCCTAGAATGAATTGATCCTGTCCAGAGTCATGGCTTCAAGTGCTTAGAAATTTGGGCAAGTGATAGAGAGGGGAGGGGGACTGAGTCCTCAGGAGTTTGAAAGGGAAAAGATAGCACCTTACGTTTGGTGACTGGCAGGCCGCCGGGTTACATTGCAGACTCGGTACTTCCTTTTCATCTGCCCACAGTGCGTTATCTCCACCTTTAGACCTGGTAACACAGACAGCAGGTTTCAGCACCCCACTCAATCTACGCTCATCTGCAGTTTGAGCTCCAGGTTTGTCAGTTTTCATGGGAGCCACAGTTACAGATGTAGTGGGGTGTCTGGAGCCATTGCTGGGACCCCTCAAGGGATGGCAACACTTAGACCCTGCCCTCAGGACAATGGCTGGATGGACATCGCCCACAGAGATGCCTTTTCCCTGAGAATCTTGGACTTGAGTTATTTGGCTATGGCCACAAGACAGGGTATCTGCAGATACATGGAGGCCCTGGGACTCAGCAGAGTGCAGTCATCTGTGCACCCTGCCTGTCTCTGTGGTAACACCAGGCTGATGCTGGCCTTCAATGGCCTTCTAAAAGGAGAGGACAGGCAGTTCTGTGCTACAGGCCGATGGACCTGACACAAACCCACAACTCCTGGATCTGTGCTTCCTGAAGTTAAGCCCAGACTGAAAGGGCAGACAGAGGCCCAGAAGCAGAAAAGTGCTTGGCTTTTGGGAGTGTAGTAAGTCACAGGCGTCATGGTACCACCATGCTCAGAGGGCATTTCTAGTCCTCACATTTGTGACTCAGGCATCACTGATCTGTGCACCTGTTCCACCCACACAAATGGTTGCACTTATTTAGGAAGTTGTCACTCCCCCTCTGCAGAACAGGTCTCAACCACGACAGTCTAACACATCTGCCAACTCCCTCTTCTCTCCACTCACATGCCCCCTGGCAGAGGAGCAAGAACCCACAGTGCATGGGAGAGGGGACTGAGAGGCCACCTACACCCTTAGCTGATGGCTCGTACCTTTAATTTCTTTGGTAAACTTTACCCTTTGGGAATCTGTCAGAGGTTTTTGTTGTTCTTCAATACTTTTAAAATCCAAAACTTCACAAACAAACTCGATCACTGGCTGTGCCTTGTAAAACGCTGTTGCTGACACTGTAGGTAGGAAGAGAAAGAGGCCAAGACAAAAGTTTGGTGGTGCCCTGTGAAGTGAACCACAGGCCAAATCTGGAGTGCTTCTGCAGGCCACTTGGCCCAGGGACTCAGGGAGGAGGACAACTCTGCAGAATTCACCCTTGGTCTTTGAGACCCAGAATGAATGGTACTAAAGTCCAAGGGAAATTTGGAACCCTGTGGCCTGGATGATAAGGGGTCAGCTGAGTCTAAAGATTAAGTCACTCTTTAAGAATAAAACTAGTGTTTAAGAACAAAGCCCAACAGATCATAAGATGGCCATAAGCCTTGGATTCTGAGTATTTTCTGTCTCCTGGCACAGACACTTCTGAGATTTGCCAGTACATCTAGATTGTCTCCAATACATGTGCATCTGAGAAGACAGTTTGGAGGCCCTAATACAACTTTTTGTAATAACTACCAAATCTCTCTCTCTCTTTTCCCCTCTCCCTCTTTCCATACACTAGGGGCCCTGCGCTTACCAGACAGATACCCCTGCAGCCATGCCCCGGGCCTTCTGGCCTCCGTTATGCTTTGAACGGCCCTCGGGTTCACATTTATGCCTTGCTGACCTGGACTGTGATCCTTCAGATGTCCTCCTTCCGAGTAGCTAGGATTATAGGCATAAACTGTGTGCCCGGCCACTCTTGTCTCTGTCTCCGGCAGAGAGGGAAGTAGTGGTCTAGCATAAAGCACAACACACGGTCTTTGGAGAAAGAGAGGAGGCAGCGGTGCCTATTATGGCTTAGATATGAAGTGATCTACCACATAAGGCTCCTGTAGTGAAGGTGTGATCCCAACGCAATGCTCAGAGGTGGACCTTTTAGGAAGTGACTGAATCCTGGGGAGTTGACCTAATCAATGATTAATTCATTAATGGGTCCATAATTTTCCCAAGAGGTAGAAGAAATAGGAGGCAGGGCACGGTTAGAGGAAGTAAGTCACTGGGGCACGTCTTTGAAGGGTACATCTTGTCCCTGGCTCCTTCATGTCTCTCTGCTTCCTGGCTGCCACAAGGGGAGCAGCTCTTCTCCAGAACACTTCCCTGCCATGTTGTTCTACCTTACTATAGACCTAACAGTAATGAGGCAAGCTGACTGTGGACTGAAACCGTAAGTTAAAATAAATCTTTCCTCCTTTAAACTGCTTCTCTCAGGTATCTTTTTGTTAGTCAACAAAAAGGCTGACTAATGGAACACTCAAATGTGGAAGAAGACCCAGTGAACAGTGTGGCCACATCAGTAGCCCCTGAAGGCTGCCCCACCCTGAAATCAGAAGTAACACGTGATACTGTGAAACTGTGTGGGAAGGGGAGGGATGCAGCCTGGATCACATGCCCGGCACACCCAGCAGCACAAGGGGACTGGCAGAGGTAGCAACTCAGACCACCTCAGCCCCTGACTTCCAGGGGCATCTGACACCACCTGTCTGAGAACCACTGCCACAACCTCAGACACCATGCAGATGGCACAGGCTGGGTGCCATGCTGCAATGCTGCATCTCTAACTGGGCCAGAGGCCATGTTCAGAGCTGGCCACAAGGCCCTCTCCAAGCTGTTGGACCCTCTCCATGTTCCCCACTCCAACCCAGCACAAGAGGCCCCATGGCTTTGCTCACCATCAATATTCAGCATCATTTTCCAAAGAGAAGGTCGGACAGACTGATGGAAGCCAAACCACACTTCTCGGCCCCCACCAAGAGGGTTGGAGCAGCCCTCAGATGCAGTGAAGAAGGAGCGGCCCACGGGGGTGTACCTGAAATCCAGAGAGGACTCTCCTGATCAGACACACAGCCAGGACGGGAGGGCTGACTCCACGCCTGCCCCTCCCATCAGCCCAGACACATGCTCAGGGATCATTCCAGTTCCTCTATGTAAAATCCCTTTCACTACAGTGCACTCCAGCTGCACTCATGGCTGACCTGGGGGAATGTATGACCCTTCTGCTGCTGCATAGCTGCACAGCTGCTAAGGAAGGCTGCAGACAAGTACGACTTGACCCAAGCCAGTACTCATTTCCTGTTCCACACAGTTCCTTTCTCTGGGTGTCTCTAGGCATACGGCACAGGAGGCAGCAGAGAGTTAACTGCCCTTGGAGCTTCAGCTTGTGTAAGGTTGGAGTGGTAAGACCCATGCACCTCTGCAGGACAGTTATGCAGGGTGGCTGACCCAAGCCGGAGCCTACCTCATCACAGTGGACATGTTCTCCACTGCCCTTTCATCTGCAGGCTGCACCAGCACTTGGTATCCAGCCACTAAGGACATGCGACCACTCACAACTTCAAAGGAAAAATGTTATCATGTGTGAGTCGCACTGCTTGTTAGTGTTACCATGTAGATGGCCCTTTGCACTTTCTACTGAGATATGTTAATCCTCCTTTTGTTTCTATGGTTTTTCCAAAATGAAAACAGAAATTTCCTCCCTGACCAAAAATGAATGTAAATAATCCAAGGGAATTCAGAAAAGAAAAACTATGCTAATCCTGCCATTCAATTAAAAAGACAGACACACTTTGGCAACTACCCTTCTTGATTGTCAGTCTTCCTCCTAAACACTGACAGATTACATGTCCAGGCCCTGCCAGGATTATCAGCTGGTCCTGGATGTGCCCACCTCTACTTACATCTAAAGCTGAACTCCACGGCCCCTCTAAATCTAACACCTGGCTTCAGCACCTTCTCAGACCTCTCCTCAGAGAGGCTGGTCAGTCCTGGGAGCACTCAGCATGCAGATTTTAGTTTGGGGGCTTCTGCTCTCCCCTAGTCCAGTCCCACCATTCATTCCTAAGATCTGACTTGTGCCCTGAGCTTGTCTGTGTGTGCTGTGAACACATACATGACACCGGAGGGCTCTGGTCTGACAGAAGTCAGCACAACTTACTGCCCAGCAATTGTGCAAATGATGATCTGTGCAAATGTTCACCCACCCCTTCTCCCAGCAATGTCAAGAGTGGCAACTTGGGGCATAAAGGTGATTCCCTAGAAAGAAACAAGTCTGAACACCTCTGGTGCTGCCCTCTGTCATGAAAAACTATGGAGGCACCTCCGGGTGGACATTCAGCCAAGCACGACAGGGAGGTGCCAAACGTGGCAAGGGCAGGGGACACCAAAGTGCTGCCCACACAGGGTAGGCAGGGAGGTGGTCCTCCTGTGCTCAGTTGAGGATGCTGGTGAGTCGATTTTTGTATTAAGGTCTTTCCATCTTAGCATTGCTTCATGTTTTCCCCACAGAACACTTAACAGGCTGTCACCACCCTGCTCCACCCTTGCTGGAATGAGGTCTCACACTTCCTGGCCACACCTGGTCAGAAGTAGATGCTCCTAGACCTTTGCTTCCACACGGTTGCCTCACCTCATGGACGGCAAATGCCTCATGACCACGTCCAGGGCCTGGATCGTCTCAAAAGGGACGCTGGGCAGCCGGCCTGAAAGTGCATCGTGTAAGGCCTGTAAGCTCACGCAGGACACCCACTTGATGGACACCTTGAAGATGCGGTCCTTGCCTTCTCCAGGCAGCGTGACCTCCAGCTCCACCTGTGGGTTCCAAAGCAACACAAAGTAATTCCCTCCCAAGAAGCACTGGAGGACAGGCTGGTGGTGGTCAGCTCTCCAACACAGCTGGGTGAGGGAAGTTCACTGCAGGCCTTTGTCTATCCATTGGCCCCATGTGGCTACTGAGTACTTAAAATAAGAGTCAGAAACTGAATTTTTCAGCTCTACTTATTTTGGATGAATGCACGTTTACATAGCCATGTATGGCTAGACACCAGCCTGCTGGATGGTGGTCTAAATATGCACAGTGGTCATCCTTACCACAAATGCATCAATGACACCCCCAACAGCCTCTGATCACCCCTCATTCACAAGCCCACCTTGCTCCCATGATTCTGGGCCACCCATCCACACTCACAGCTGCAGTCGGATCACCATTAAATGTGGTACATTTGGACTGTGGCACACAAACGTCTCGGGTGATGGTGGAAGTGGACTACACTATTGCTGTTGACAATGGCCCCATGTTTCTGGAACAGCGATCTCACAGGTCATGGACTTTACCCTTAAATGCCCAAACATTCCAGTCAGGGAGGCTTACCTCCTCCTTACACGTAACACTGGGACACCCAAGACTCTAGCACTAGGACAGGGTTGCCTATCACCAAAGGTTCTTCCACTCGGCATGGGACGCCCAGCATCTGAGGACCTCAGCGCAGGGCTGAAGCCATCACCTAGGGAGTGACACGTGTGACCACAAATGGGTGCCAGTCACTCACCCCACTCCCACACTGTGTGTCTGGAACACCTTCCTGATTCAGGCCCCAGTGCGCCCTCCTCAACAGCCCAGCTCAGCCTTGAAGCCAGGCAAAGTGTTACCCAATGTCCACCCACAGTGAGGATAAATAAGGAGGAGTGCCTCTAGCCCTGTGGACTTCAAACATCCAACACAGAGAGAAGGAACCAAGCCAAGGGCACTGCAGTGTGATTCCCTCTAGATCTATAAACAGGACAGTGCAAATCCACCCACCTGAGGGGGTCTGCACACCATGGGCAAACCTCCATGGACTGATGGGAGTGGGTCAATGTGTGTTAGGACAGTGAGCAGCGGGCAAGGGTGCATGGTAGGAATGTGGCGTTTATTACTCTTGATAAAATTGTTGCAAAAGCAACAAAAACAAAAAGTACTTCACACAGCACAAATAACTTACCTAATAACCCATTATTCCCCACCTTGGACTCCACTTCCATTTCAGTCAAGGCACCTGAGATCTACAGTGGCCAAAGGAGGTGCCCAGACCACAGGGTGAAAGCAGAAGAGGCGTGCCCATCCCGGGGAGTCTGGCCTGTGACATGACCAGTGCCTGTGGCCTGGCCAGGCTGAGGGTGAGGGGGATTCAGTTTGGACCAGCAGAGACCTAGTTCACACAACAAAAGTAACTGGTCACACTTGTACAGAGATGGCCCTGGAGGCCTGGTGCACAAAGGGCAGTGAGCACCTGAGTGGAAACCAGGCCAGTCTCTCCATAACATACCCATGACAGGGGGGATGGACAGCAAGCCCAAACACAGCTCCTTGTAGCTGAGCGAATCAGAAAAGTAGTGTTGATTTGATGTTTGTTGATGTCACCCTTACAATGCCTCTGTGATGGGAACTGAGGGAGATCAAATGCAGTTGCACTGTTAAGGATATTCTAGTCCTGCCTCCTCACAGCCCAGGCTCACCAACGCTGTCTGCCAGTCACAGCATCTAGAGAGATGTGCAGGGGCCTAGGAGGGGAGCTCCATGATCGCTGAAGAGCAGGACTCGTCTGTGTCTAGGCTGCTGTACATACCCCAGGACCCTTCGGTGTCTGAGTCCCAATCACACAACACCCAAGGGCTCCACGTGAAAGCGCAGCTCTGTGGCCCCTATGGTCTGACCTTTGGCTCCACCAGGCCCCTTTTACACATGACAGGACTGGCAGTAAGCCAGCCCACACACAGCATCCATGCCCACCATGGAGGGCACCTGTTTGAAAATCCTTGAAGTGACAGAAACTGTGTACATTACCTGGGAGACAGCAACATAGAGAGGTAGCTGCGTCTCAGGCATCCCTGCCCATAGCTCAGCTGTGGGGCCCTGCCCCCGCCGCCAGTGAAGGAGCCACAGCACCAGCACAAGTTGGGCATTGCCAGGACTGTCCTGGGCCCCAGAGAATGTGTCACACCCACTGTGCCTGCCAGGCTTGGTCAGAGCAGGAGCTGCAGGACTCCCTGCCTCCTTTCCAGAGGGGGGTGTGTAGGTCATGCCCTATTTCACTGTGCCAGGAAAGCTGCTATCTAAAGGTCTTCTGTAACTTTGTATAGCAACCCACCTTCTGGAAAAGTCACTGACCCTCCAAACACCTGGTATCAAAACCAGTGTGAGCCAGTGCATGTGTGTGGTGTCCTGGGAGCCCAGAGACACCCTGATAGGTGATGGGACAAGTCTAGGGTGGAAGTCCAATCAGGGCTAAGCAACATGTCCTGAACACACAGATGCCTGAACAAATGCCGTGGGGACCTCCTGTGAAGTCCATGACCCCTCCACCGCCTCCCCTCCCTAAGTCTCCAGTATGGAAGATCAGCCCTGCATGGCCAGGACTGGGCCTCATGGTTAATGGACACCTTCATTCCAGGTCAGCAGGCACCTGCAGGTGCACCTGTGGCTGGCCCCCATATAGCTAAGCTGCGAAAAAAGAGATGGACGGGCAGGAGAGCCAGGTAATTCACTGGCAGTAGATCCCATCCGTGGCTGTGCTCCCCTGCAATAAAACTGCTTCTAGGCAGTCAGGGTGTGTCATCATCTGAACTGTGCCTCTAATTTCCATCTAGGGAGGGGACACTCACTGGTCTCTGACCAGGGAGGCTGCCAACCTCCCGTGAGCACTGGAAGGGGGAGACCCAGGCTCGAGAGCTATGCACGACATGCATCATGCTGTACTTCTGAGAAAAGGGGCCCAGGAATTAAGCCCCACTTTTTGAGCAACTTGCATGGCTCCATAGCTCTCTAGGACTCAAGCTTGCTATCTGACAAAAGGACAAGGATGGTTACGGTTCAATTAGGATGCCAAGCACCCACTAGGTTTCATGAAGTACTGCTGCGGACACTGGGCTTCTCCAGAATGCTCTGGACACAGTCTAGGATAGGGACGGTTCCTGCAGGCAGGATCTGCCAGGTGCTTACCACCCCCGTGAATGGGACAGAGAGCTGACAGACCTCACTACTCACCCTGAGGTATGGGGACTGGCCAGAGCTGATGAGAGGAGCAGAGCCTCCAGCCTGGAAGAGAAAGCCTGCCCTGGAACAGAGGCCCAGGAGCACACCACACATGACAAAGATGGAGTGCCCTGAGTGGGTGTGTGCCTGGTGTGTCTCCTATCACAACTGCTCCATTTTGCACGAAAGGCGGTTGCAGGCTTGGAAGGGGAGGTGGCTTGCCCTAGACCCTATCACTAGGAAGGGCAAACCCAGGCCTGTGCTGTTTGTTTCCACCATAACATGTCTCGAATTTGAGCACCAGACTTCCACATTCCTTAAGGGAGACTCTTCCATGCTCCTCCCAGTGTCTAATTATAAATATGTATGAACAAAACTGTGAACAAGCTCCTTATGCTTTTCTTTCTTATATAACTTTAAACAAAAACAAATGTGCAAATGAAACACAAACCTCTAAGATTAATGAACCTCACATTTGTAGCATGCTCATCTGCAAAGGGTGATTCGCACCCCATCCTGGAAATCACTCTTGCTTGGAACCCATTGCCCATCACTCTGGGAGGCAACGACAACACACGCACCACTGGTGACTGCAGGAATCACCACGTCGTACAGAGCTATGTATGGCCACCAGGCCTTCACCCCACCCCAATGCATGTCTCTCTTGCCAGCGTAGCAACATGGAGCAGAGCCAGTGGGTGTTGAGCCCACCTGTACCTGCTAGATACAGACTGGTGGAAAGAAACGAAGTTGCTTATTCATTCTAGGATTACTGTGCAAACGCAAAAGCCCAAACATTTCATGCCTGTAGAAAATGTGCAGCTCTGCTACCTCTCCTAAAATATATCCCTGCCAGCAGCACGAGACCCCGAGACTATCCTCCCTCTCAGGAACCCCTGGCTCAAGGTGAGAAGTATGTGGGGCATTGTTTTTTCCTTGAGTTTGTTACAGATGCATGAGCATCACTTCTGACCCGGTCTCTGCACCTCCTCTACTTACAAACATCCCCACTATCACCCTGGAACACACAGATGTTAAAGGATGGTACCAAGAAGTGACAACTTCTAGGAAGAAATTTTTATTGCTTTTTAAATAAAACCAGGATAAGAATAGTAAGAAAGGTCAACATTTTAATATAACGACCACTCCAGGTTGACTAATTATCCACGTTCTGATGTCAGATAAGGTGCTGGCTTCAGCAGCATACTCACCCCCCACACCTGTGGGAGCATGTGTCTCCACAGACCTGACAGGTGGTGTTTGTGGCTTGCATTTGGAGAGGAAGGGTAATGGTCTATGTGTATTTTCTGCACAATCATTGCAAACCATACCATGTGGAAGGCAGTTTCTACGGACCTTGGATGAAGCACACAGCCAGTTAGCTGCCCTTTTCTCCCAGGGGAAACAGCACTGCATCTGACCTTACCTTGTCCCTCCCAATCGGAAGGGGCATGGCCGTGTACAGATTCTTTCTTCCATCAAACACTGGTTTCCGATCCCCAAAGATCTGTGTTTTAAAGTGCTGGACCATGTGTTCCACTATTTCCCTGAAACAAAACCAGAATTCAGGCAAAATGTCAGTAAAATCAGGGGAAGGGCCTATAGGGATGGCATGTTTTTGTAGAATCTGAGCTTCCTTTTTAGTGACAGGACTTCTCAATCCACCCAGGACCCTAAGTGGGTTCATGCTATTCACTGGGCATGCAAACGAGGGAGAACTTCCTAACAGGTGACACGCGACAGGTGACAGGGACTCCTGGAGTACTGAAGAGTGGCGCTGATGAGTCTCCTTCTAGAGTGGGAGACAGATACCTCATACCTCTTCCATGGAGCTGCAGGCCCCCACACTGCACAAACTATGCTGTCACGATGACATGGTCAGTAGCGTCACTGTGGGCCTATGTGACAGGCTTGGCCTTTGGTGCCCCTAGGATCCCTAGAAGAATGTGCCTGGGTGTTGCTGCCCCTTCCAACTGGGCTACAGCATGAAGGACTTGAACTTGACTCAAAGCCCAATCCAGACTGACCCAGCTGGCCCAGCCAAACCACAGCCCACCTGCAGAGCCATGGGTGTAACACGGAGGGCTGTTGCTGTAAGCAACTGAGATTTTCGTGCTACTGGCTTCTTGGGCACTAGCGCAGCAGAAACCTGATGACTACCAAGAAGTTATTCTGTTGCTCCACACTGCAGTGAACTGGAGCCTCTCCGTACCCCACACCATCTCCCAGCAGAGTCATCCAGAGTACACTCTACCAATGGCTGTGGCGGCCTGACTCTCCAGCTGGTTCTGAGGCTTGGGACTAGCACCCAACACCTGTCTGTGCCTCCATCTTTCCAGATCTTTCTTCTCCTGGCATCTCCTTCCTGACCACTGCAGCTCAGTTCGCCAGTGACCTGTCTCTCACACACAAGAGCCTCAATCCTGCCTGCCCGGGAGGTCCTGGTGAGGAAAAGATGCTCAGAGGCTGTGGTAAAGAGAGAGGGCCGATGCTGCCAGCGTGGAAGATGGGAGGACGTCTGAAAGATTCCTGCTTGAGGTCAGATGTGCAGAGCAGTGGTTTTCAAGGCAGAGCCTTGGTCATCCCTCGGGAAGCAGCAATCTAGCAACTGTTCCATTTCCTTCCCAGAACAGGAGGCAGGCTGGCTCGGAAGGAGATACTGCTTACCAAAACCCACTTTACCCGACTGACGTTCAACTAGCCACAGATAAGTCTCCAGAGGGCCAGCCAAGCTCGCCCCCAGCATGGGCAGCCTGGTCAGTGCCCCCGGAAGTCTCCTGGCAACATCTTGCAGGCTAGGTCAGCTGCACCTGACAAGAGACACCCTCTCAAGGATAGCAGGCACACTTTGCCTTTGGAGGCTGGTGTATTTGATGGAACCAACAGAGTTACCCTAAAATGTTACTTTCAAATACCAAGGATAGAGGCCAGCCAGTGCACTCGGAGCAAGCTGTGAATGAGCCTGGCAGAGCTGAGATGTGTCAGAGGTGTACTGCAGAGCTGGAGCAGGCAGACAAGCAGGCTCAGAACAGACCCGTGCATGGAGGGACAGCTCACATATCCAGAAGCGGAAGAAATGAACAGCAGACACTTTCTAGCAACCAGGTATCAGTCTTCAGGGGAAGAATGCAAGCCCATGCCACATGGAACATCATCCATGTCAATGCTTACTGTCCCGAGGCCAGCTCAGCTCTTGAGTGTGACCCAGCTCAGATACCATCTTGTGGTTGGTCCCATGGCAGGAGTCAGAGCTAACCCATCCTGATCACCCAGCACCTGGCACTGTGGTAGGCATACAGCAGCACATACTAGAAGGAAGCCATTCACTCTTGACACTGTCCCAAGGGGCCACAAGGCGCTCCCACCAAGGGGCCAGCAGACAGTCCCGCCCACCAAGAGAGCCCTTTGATCCACGTGGCTCCAAGGCTGCTTCCCCCAGGAGAAAGATGCTTAGTTGTTGTGGCAGGGTGACGATTCAGCTGCCCAGTTCTGTAATGGCAACTGCCCTGTATAAGCCCAGCCAACTCCCATGTACTCGCCCAGGAACTCTGTTCTTTCTTTTTGTTAAATCATGGTAAGGTCTAGGTTAGCATAAAATTCGTGGTTCTACCACCCAGGTGCATGGTCAGTGGCATCAGCGCATTCCTGCAGGTGTGCATCTTTCACTGTCACCTATTCCCAGCACTTTCTTATCTTCCCAAACCCAACCCCAGCACCCCTCACCTCTAGTTCCCTCCCTCCCCCAGCCCCTCTGCCTATTCCTAAGCAGAGCAGCTGCAGAGAAACACCTGGGAGGAACCCTGAGGGTCGCTATTCCTGGAGTCCCCAGTTTGCCTCTTCGTTACATCAGGAAGGCAAGGGGCTGCATAACATCAGCATGGCTCCCCAGAGGAAACCCTGCACTGGAAATACGCACAGGCTTAGCCCCTGACCTTACTCAGACAGCAAGAACCCTAAGAGCACCATCCATGTTCTGTCAGCCTCATGCACCCTTAGTATTGGCCAGGGTGGTCCCTACACTAAACCAGAGTCAGGCCAACAATGACAAACCCACTGGCACTTATTCTCTGTCATGAACTAGATACCTGGCACTGTTATACCCATTTTATACATGGGACACCGAGGCACAAAGCCACCTGCACAGGCAAGGGCAGCATGAGAGGCAAGCCAGGCCCTCTCTCCAAGTGGCCTGCCTGCTCCTCGCCCCTACGGGAGCCGCCCTGTGGTAACTGGGACATAATCACCAACCCAGTGAAGGCAACAGGCTCCCCATCAGCTTGATGTACTTTTCCCCATTGTTCTGAAAGTTTCTCTTTCAAGAAAGTCATTCTTTCTTTAAGTTGTAATTATGCTGGGTTTTTGTCAATGCATTCTCATTGTAAGACCAAGTTAAGAGTCTACTGGGACTGCCTCCTCTTCCCAATCCCTTCTCAGAGCACGCTTATATGTTCAACCCACTGAACAAATCCTATGTGGCTTACAGATCTTTCCTGTCACTGTATACAGTGTTGCCACACAGCCTACAAATATGGACTTCATCTTATACTCCAATACCTTACTAAAAGCCACTCTGAACCCCACGTCACTGATGCTGATGGGTCACAAAGAATCCCACAGAATATTCATTTAACCATATCATTTATTTAACCATTCTCTACCAATGAGCTTTTTTTCTTTTTTCTTTTCGGCCATTACAATATTGTAGTTAATATCCTGTACAGACTCCTGTGAGACAAGCCTTGTGCTCTCAGGCAAAGGTAGGCTTAGTTATGTTGGATGACCATCTCTGTGTCACAGACACACTGACACCTCCCGAGTCAAGGGCTGGTCTTACAGGAACTCCTACCCAAGGCATCACCCAGCACAAGGGTGAGTGACCTGCTGGAGACTGAGGCAAACAGGGGTCAATGAAGCACCCCATAGGTAACAGAGGTGACAGTTTCTCCTCAGGGCCTTCAGTGAAGGCTCAATGTTAAGTTAGCATGTACCACGTGCATGACATGAGGTTTTGGGATCACCATCCTTGTTTTTAGAGAGGGTGCAGTGTGGCAGGAGAAAGGCACAGGTGCAGAGATGGGGTGTGGCCACCAAGGCAGAGCTGTGCTAACTTAGCACTGTTTTCCTCTTCCTTGTGCCCACCACTGCCAGGCTGAGCTTGGGTGCCATCGCCCATGGAGCATTCTGCTCCACTCCGGACAGGTGTGTATCCAGGGACATGCTGCCACCACACAACAGCATAAATGGTGGCTGGCAGCAAAATCCAGAGGCTGGCACATGGATTTTGCTTTGTGTTTAGTTCTTTTTGGTGGCGCATGGGTTTGAACTCAGGGCCTTACACCTGCTAGACAGGCATGCTTACCATGTGGATTTTGCTGGCACAAAACTGCTGCTTCCAACCCCTGCTGCCTTGCTTTGCCCACCGGACTCTTGAGACTGAGCCTTGCCTGATATACACCAGACCCAACAGTCAGGTGGCGAAGAGCATTAATATCCGGGGACTTAACAAGGCAGCAACTCTCACTGTCTCCAAACCTGATGGCCTGCTCACGCCCACCTCTGGGTATCCCTAAGCACAGGTAACATTGCACCTCACGGAGCTGACACTAGCAGGACTGGAGCAGTAGAGGCTGCAGACATCCCGTGCCAATCACCATTGCCTTCTGACCCAGACACAAGACCCTCGCCACGTGCTACTTTTGGCAAAGGTATCCTGCACACTGTGAGGCTGGCACAACAAAGCCTAACTACCAACACACCAGACCAAAGCCCTGAAGCACGCCTGCCTTTTTCCATCCACAATAGATACTGAGAGTACAGCTCAGGTCACAGAGATGCAGGTTTCCATCCCAGGAAAGCAGAAAGTAAACCAACACACCCATGTGTGGAGTCACAGCCCAACAACAAACCAGACACTTGGAAAGATCTGGGTGAAGAAAGCTGTCTAATCTAGCTGTGCCTAGTGTCTGCAGAAACAGTCTTCTTAGGAAGTATATGTGAAAGGCTCTCCTGTAACTCTCCATGCATTCTGGGCACAGTGAACAAATCCAGCTGTGCAGTTGGACAGGTAAAGAAACTGCATCCCTCAGACACTCATTCCCTCATTCCTTCTCTCCCAGAGGGTGCAACCAGGATGACATACTGTAGCAAGGAGTGCCATGTCCCCAGGGAATAGCGTGCCCAGGCCACTGCTCTCCCACGAGGTAAGTGGTTTTTCACGTACCCTCTTGCCACAAGCATTTGTAAAGGAGGAGGAAACAAACTGGGTGTCGGTGGTTCCCGTCTGTAATCCCAGCTACTTGGGAGGCTGTGATGGGGACGATCAAGGTTCAAGGCTGGCCCAGGCAAATAGTTTGAGAGACCCTATCTCCAAAATAACCAGAGCAAAATGGACTGGCAGTGTGGAACAAACAGTAGAGCGCCTGCTTTGCCAGAGCAAGGCCCTGAGTTCAAACTCCAATCCCAAAAAAAAATTAAAAAAAAAAAAAAAAGAAAAGAAAAGAATGAGCAAAGAGGAGACAGGTGGTTTGGGCTTTGAAACCAGGCTGGT